CTAAAGACCGATATGAGTCGAAGTATGAAGAGGACTGATAATTGAACATGTTGGCGTGCAGGTTATGCCCTGATTATATATGTTCTGCCTCTGACAAAGTCCTTAGAAAGAGATAGATCTTGATCTTTCCAAGAAGGGCTGTGCATGCCAGTGCCCGGAACTAGCTTTGGTACACATTGACAGGCGACGAAAGCAACATTCCATCACACAATATTCGAAGAAGGAGGCAAAATCAAGACGCGGTCTTCCGCACAGCCTTGGCATGGTCGCACTCAATATGCACGCCGAAACCAATCCACCCAGTTATTTTCCTCGGGCCTCTCTCAATAACACACAACTTTTCATTCTGAAATACAGTGATCAGTTACCTTGTAAGCACTCGTGGATTGCCTGGTGTTTTTTTTTTAAAAAAAAAAAGCCAATTGCTCCGTGCTTAGGTCTGGCTTTGGGGTAACTTTGTTCTGGTGTGCATATCTCGAGCGCGATCGCGTGTCATGACCAGTGGCGAAACTGTGAAAAGGCTGCTACACTACGTGTAACATGCCTCAACGCTTGGAATTTTAGGCAGTAGGTGTAACATGGCTGCCTGCTTGTGCAATATACTTACACAGATCTTGCCAAGAAAGGGGGTTGGAAGACTTACAGCCTCGTTCAATTTAGGCTTATTTAAGTCTAGCTTGGTTACCAGCCTTTTCTAAGCCACAGCCTTGCAGAGGAAAAATGCGGGCATCTGATCCGCGACGCGGATACTCAGCTGTCCCCGCACTTCCATGTCGCACTGTTATGTCGCATCGAAGAGGGAAAATAGGAAGGCTCTCTTAGGCCGATATGGGCCGTCGTTTTCCGTTCCCCCGAAGCCATTAGGATTATTTTTAGAGACATTGGTAACAGTAGCAGGAGCAGCACTGGCAGTGCAAGCGGCCTTGTTTCCCTTTGAATTTACTCTAGCCTCGAAGCTGCGCTGCTTGCATACGAAGGGATTGAAACAATTCGAGAAATAAATCCCTGTATCCTTCTAGAAGTACGACTGGTAAGGTGCAGTCGTGAGATTAGTATCGCGACGACGATTTTAACAGCAACGTCTAAGCCACTGCCCCTGATGACTCGCATACAAGCGGCTTTAGAGGTAGTCATATAGGACATGGGGTGTCTAGCGAGGCTACGCGGACGAAGTCTAGATCACTGTCCCATGTCATTATCGAGGCTGGCGTACAATGCCAAGCAATTATCCGTGGGCTGCGGCCAGGCGCATGTGCGACTGGGCCGAGCCACGGTGTCGCATGGCGCAGCCGTAGCCGCTGGACAGGAAGCACAGAGCTCAGATCAGGAAGCTCACGTGGTCGGCAAGTATGACTCGCATGTTGAGCTAAATTTTGTTGCAATGCGTACTGCAGCAGCTTCCCCAGTTGCACAGCCTTTTTTCGGTAACTTTTCCCGCCCGAAGTGTTATTTTTGTTTTTTAACCTCCTTCGAAGTTTAGTAGAGTACCATCAGCAAAACTCTTTATGGTATTGCCAGGTTGGGACACCGATTTCAGGATGCAGCAGCAGCAACGGCTTCATCTAAGGCTTCACTACGAGTACGGGAAATATTAAGACAGGCCTCCTCGAGGAGTATTCTGCCAGGTTTTAGCGTTGTTATAGGCATTTTAGGTTACTTTTAGCGAGAGAAGTGATCATTTTCACGAAACCGCTTTCCGATTCGGTGTTGCATATAGTGACAATTGCCAGCATTCTCCGTCAGAGCCGCGCTAAACCAAATGGAAATAGGAACGGAGCAGCAGAATAGAAGAGAGCATATGCAACGGTGAGAACGCAAATGACAGGCTGCAAAGCGAGTGTAACAGCAAGAGAAATGTTCACCCAGCTAGCGGGATTGTTGAAGCATCAGGCTACACGTGGAGCTATATAACACGCTCGAGGTGACACGTGATTGGTACCAAAATTCCTACTTGTCTTTGCCGTCTTCCAGCTCATCCTTCTGATTTCCATTGGTTGGGGAAGAGGAGTTTGAACGGGTCCGCTGGCCGATCTTCTTAGATGAAAGGCGCGGACGAGGAGTATGATCGGGCTCGGGATATTCTTCGCCCAACCGCGGCGGAGAAGTTGGGGAGCGGGGTCCGCTACTGCTGTCGTTGGACGCCACCGAGCACCTGTCGTAGTCAGCGCAAGCAACAGCGATTTGTGAAGGCGGCACACGAGCGCACCGGACACGCCACTGGTCCAACAATCCTCGATCGACGTCGTCTTTATCCACTCAAAGCTCATCGGATTCCACAAGGAAGCAGCTGTCCTGCTCTTTCACGACGCCACGCTGGGCAGGAATCTGTGCCCGCAGCTTCTTCTCGGCTTTCCAGTAAATCGGGCTGTCATCCGAGCCAGCATCTGCAACGGGCAAGATCAATGGAGCTGCTGAAACCTATGGTACGCGTGGTGCCAAAAAGGTCTTGTCTACTCGTCACTGGCAGGGGTGTACACCGCCTCGCTTTACCGCATAAGGGCATTGCAGTCTCCTACGTAAGTACAGAGTACATCTTCTACACCTATAGAGCATGAGTTAGGTATATAGCCCAATTTTCATGTACTTTAAATATGGAATTGTGTTTGAGCGAGCCCGTACGTGGTCGAGTTTTGCTGCTACAAATTTCGTGTTCCCGGCGGACAAAGAACAATTTGGGCACAAAGAAATTTCAGCACGTGCTCCGGACTCCTCTCCCTTCTTTCCCATCAAGCACGAACGACTCAATCATCAGAACCGTCCGCTCGCAGGACTTTTGATGCTAGTACCTGAAACGGACTTCGTCTACTCCAATACTATGCAGTCAGCCGATCAAAATTCTAGTGGAGCGACGTCCTTGTGTCGCCCCATCCGGAGCGATAAGATGGCCTGTCTAGCCTTTCAGACCCAGTTCCCGCTTAGGGCTCTCAGAAACACGTTTGAGTTTTCGAGTAGTGCTCGAACTGCAGGAAACGCAAACTTTGATATGGGAACGTCGACGCTTCTAGCATACGTCAACATTGCCTGACCAATGGCATCGAACGATCGTTCCACCGTGTAGGTTTAGCCGTCAATTTCGACATCATTTTCTTTTCCTTTCCGATCGGTTCCTCGTGGCTCAACAGATCGGAGAATACGACCCCACCGCCGAACACGGACGTCTAGCGTCTTCTATACAAGGGGAAAGAACCAGATTCGTTGCGGGATGAAAAAGCGGGCAGTCTAAAAGTTCGGCGCTACGTACGCGCCGTAAAATGGTCGAAAAATCTTGAGTGCGTAGCAAGTGAATTCTTGCGACGCCGCAGATCAGCCCAGCGGCGCGAATAGTCTAGTGCTTTGCGCTAAAATCGTGCGGTTTGAGCCATTTTTAGTAAGAGTTGAGAAAACCTCTTCCTCAACTGAAATTCGAAATGCGCTTATTGTTTAGCGTACAGTTAAGAAACGCTTCTTAGAGATTTAGTACGCCAGGTGAAGTTTAGCGGGTACTAGATCTAGTGAAGCGCCAAAAAACGGCTGCTATACGAGCTATACGAAGTATTTGCCAGCGGAAATGCCGGGTTTTAGTGCTCAGTCGTGCTGAATCTGTGATGTGCCTGGCCCGCACGTCTATCTCTAAGGGGAGTTGAGAAATGACTTCTTCCACAGTTCTTGCTAGTAATAAAACTGGCTATTGGCGTCGTGATTTTTGCTCTAGCGGCGCGGCGCGGCGCGGCGCGGTTCGGCCCGGGCCGCACCACGCCGTTGGATAATCCAAAATGCACATCATCCCATCGCATCCATCGCACTCGATCCGGCCAGCTTCGGTCTGTCATATTTGTTTGTTTCTTAGCCAGCAATCGTTTGTTTTGGCAACATTTGCAACTACTCAAATCTTTTTGCGTATTTACTTACGGATTATATAGCATAATAGGCCCCTCGACTAAAGGTCCTGCGCTAATAAAGACCGCTTTCAACTTGTCTGAAGGCATCGGTAGGCGTCGAGATCGATCACACACACCACTTTCAAGTATCATCGCACCCTCTTAGTCTCCCTTTTAACACATGTCTTCAAGCAAGAGCAAATAAAATCCTCTGCAAAAATCTGCCTGCACCATCGGCTGGATTTGCGCCATCCAAACTGAGTTCGTCGCGGCTTACAAAGTCTTCGACGAAGAAAATAGGCCCTCATAGTTAGAGGCAACAGACGATGGCAATGCGTACGGTTTTGGCCGTATCGGTAGCCACAATGTCGTGATCGCAACCCTGCCTAAGGGGAAACATGGGACTACGTCTGCCGCGGTTGTGGCAAGAGACATGCTGAGCACCGTTCCATCGATTAAGCTTGATCTATATTTTTAGACAAGACACTTAGCTTCTTCTACCTACTATAGCTATACTAGAAGATCTACGTGTAGGTCACGTGCTACACTAGTCTTAAAGAAGCTTAAGAGGTCACTAAAACCCGGACTTTAATAGCTAATAGCCGGATTTTAGGGAGAGGAAACGCTTCCCTTCCCTGGAAACACTTCTCCTTCCTAGAAACATTTCCACCAGGACCTGACTGCGTCAAATCCGGCTGTTTTCTCAATAATATGCATGCATTCTACACGAGAATACAACTGGTAATGGCTGGAACTATAAGGAACGCTCTCGCTAAGTACCCGCGTTGGACCGGGTAATGGTCAATAGAAATGCGCTAAAACCGCAGACACCGGTCGTGTTAACCACTACACCGACAGAACTGCTTTGATAGGATTGGGGGATTGGATGATATATGCACAAGCTGCTCGTCCAATACGTCGCCATTGTTGCCGCCACCATAGACACCGTAGAGGCCCGCTTCGCGGTCTGCCGCCGCCATGAAGTCATTAAGAGCTCCTGATTATGCTCTATAAGCAGCTTGGCCAGCGCTACCGCCCGATTACGGCGATAAGTACTCCACGGAGGCTAGCTGCACTGACTTGGACCCACCTCCTCCAGCACCACCGCATCCCGCGCTCACCAACCTCGCTGCCATCGCCGTCATGGCATCCAGAAATGTGCTAGGCGCGTCTCAGGCCGTTGTGACCTTGGTTACGCATAATACAAAAGAGTCTAAGAGTGTAGGTACGCTCCTACTATGTCTACTACCGATCGCTGACGCTCACTCACCCGCGCAGACTGACAAGAGAGACTCCTTGGTTGCCTACGAGAAGCAATGCCAGGCCCGATGGCGTGACGCTACCGCTTTCGAGTCCAACGCCCCCTCCGCCGCCGCCGTTGACGCCGACCTGCACGCCCTGCACCCCAAGTTCCTCGCAACCCATGGCGTATCCGTACATGAATGGAACGCTGCACGCTGGCCACGCATTCACCGCGACAAAGACCGAGTTTTACTGTGGGCTTCATGCGTATGCTGGGCAAGACCGTTTTGTTCCTGATGGGTTTCCACTACACTAGCACCCCAATCTCCGCGCCTGCGCTGACAAGCTGGCCAACGAGATCGCCATGTTCGGTGAGAACTTCGACCGCGTGTCCGATATGCCCGAAGTCGGCGCGAGGACGTGACCCAGTTCACGGCGAAGAAGAGCAAGGCAGGCGCCAAGTCGGTCAACATCAAGTATCGGTTCCAGATCATGCAGTCTCTCGGAATTCCAACGCCGCTCATCCACCGCTTCGTCGACACCAAGTTCTGGATGCAGCACCTGCCGCCACTTTGCCAACAGGACCTCTCCGATCTGGGCTGCCGGATCGATTGGCGGAGGTCCATCGTCACCACCGACGTCAACCCTTGCTACGATGCCTTCGTCCGCTGGCAGATGAATCGCCTCAAGGAATTGGACAAGATCAAGTTTGGTCGGCGGAACACCGTGTACTCCCCGAAGAATGGCCAGCCATGATCGTAGCGAAGGAAAAGTTGTTCTTCCGCAGGAGCACACTGCGCTCAAGGCTAGAGTCTTGGAATGGGCACCGGCAGCTGCCATTGCGGTGGCAAACAAAGTTCCAAAGGATGCCAATGTCTTCTTTATTCCTGCTACGCTCCGTCTGGAGACCATGTACGGCCAGACAGCCTGCTTTGTTGGACCTCACATCGTCTATGCCGTCTTCAGGGCCTCTGAACATGAGTACTTCATCGTGACTGATTAGGCAGCGCGCAGTATGGCCTTTTAAGGTATCTTTTCCTTAGAGGTTGGCTGTATGGACAAGGTTGCTCAAACTCCAGGCTCTGCCTGCATTGGTACGCTGATCCAGGCCCCTTTGTCCATTCACAAGGAAGGCATCCGAATTCTGCCAATGCACACGATCCAACCTACAAAGGCTACCGCAATTGTCACCGCAGTGCCATCGGACAGCCCGGACGACCTGGCGTTGCTCTCCGAGCTTTTTAAGAAACCTGGATTTTATGGCGTCGAGCGCCAGTGGCTGGAGCTGTCCATGCTCTCTGTAATCCGGACACCGGCGTACGGAGATCTCGCAGCGCCCGCTTTTATGGAGTCACTGAAGATTTCTTCCGTACACGATCGGAGGGAGCTCGAAACGGCTAGAGGGCTTGCTTACAAGGAAGGGTACTTTCATGGAGTTATGAACACTGGCGACTTTGCTGGTGAGTCCGTTGAGGCAGCGAAACCGAAAGTGATCCAGTTGCTTCTTACTATGCCGAACCCGAAGGCCTGGTCATCAGCAGGTCAGGCGACACTTGTTGTATGGCCCTTACGGACTAGTGGTATCTTGATTACGGTGAAGCCTCTTCGAAAAAGACGGTCTTGGACTATCTAGACGACGGATGTGGCCGGAATACCCATTTCTGAGAAAGCTTTGCAAGGCGTCCTAAATTAGCTTAACTAATGGGCATGCGTACACGAGTACGGAACTGGTTCGAAGCTCCCGTGGGATCCCAAATTCATCGTTGAGAGCTTGAGCGATCTATATGGCTACACTATTCCTCACCCCCTTCACAAAGACATTTTCGGCCAAACGCCAGGCTTGGCTGGAATCGGGCCTGACCAGATGACTGACGACGTCTGGGACTACGTCCTTACCCGCCGGGACCTGGATCCAGATATGCTTCAACAGTGTAACATCCCCGAGGAAGTCCTTGCTTCCATGCGTCGCGAGGTCGAGTACTGATACCCGCTCGATATCTCGGTGTCTGGCAAAGACCTTGTGCCGAACCATCTTGTCTTCTTTCTCTACACCCATGTTGCCATGTTTTCCCAGCAGAATTGACCCAGAAGTGTGCGGGTGAATGGCCACCCTCTTCTCAATGGCGAAAAGATGAGCAAGTCTAAGGGAAACTTCTTGACCTTATCCGAGATGGTCCACAAGTACGGCGCAGACGCCAGTAGAATTGCCCTTGCCGACGCTTGATACGGCATTTCTGACGCCAACTTCGATAAGGACGTTGCGGACATTACAGTTCTGCGCCTTTTCACACTTCGCGACTGGTGCATAAACCATTATCTCAACCTCCAAGAATTGCGACCGGTCGAATCCCCATTCCTCCTAATCGACCAGCTGTTCGACGATGAAATGAACCTGCTTACTCATGAGTGCCGCAGGTACTATGATGAGACTTTCTTCAAGCTCGCTCTTAAATCTGGCCTGTACGGTCAGATTGGCGCCCGCGACTAGTACAGAGAGGCTACAACTGCTATTAGGATCCGCATGCATGCGAAATTGGTGCTTAAATACGTCGAGCTCCAAGCCCTCCGGATCTCTCCCACAGCCCCTCACTGGTCTGAGTACATCTGGCAGGAGGTCATGCAGAAGCCTTCACAAGGCTCTGTGGCCTTCGGTGCCGGAAGCCAGGGAGGCGTTGACTGCCGCCCGTCAATACATCCGCACAACTGAAAAGGAAGCAGAAGTACGAAGGCAACGGGTCTCACTATCTTCGTCTCTTCCCAGTTCCCTGCGTGGCAGGCCAAGTGCATCGACATGGTTAAGCAAGCCTTCCATACCACCGGTTCGTCAAATCTCGATGACAAAGGCCTTATTCAAGAGATGAAGATATTCGGAGCTCAGGATATGAAGAAGATGATGCCTTTCGTACAGGGCTTGAAAAAGCGATTGATTAGCGGAGAGAATCCGGAGAACATTTTCGAACAGAACCTCCCCTTCGACGAACCTGAGGTGTTGCAGGAGAGCCTACCGGTTATACGGAGAGCTTCCGGCCTGTCATCGGTTGAAGTTGTTAACGTGGACCAAGATCAACTTTGAGACCTTCCCCAAGCGGCCGCGACCTCAGTCCCGGGATGTCCGACATTCCAGTTCAGCAACCTCTAGCCATATCTGGCACTTCAATCCTATCATGGCAGATTCTCTCTTCATGCTGTCCAATGCCTGTCATTTCTTTCCCATTGCTGGGGTAGCCGCAAGCCGATGAGGCCAGGTCTACAACCCCAAGTAAGATCTATGCTTTGGATTAATCAATTTAGGCTACGATATCTTCTATGCACATTACCACACCTTTCATCCGTTTTTGCCGCCTGATGGCGGTCCTACAGTAGGAGCGCCGTGTCTTTCTCTCAAAGGGTGCGCGGTTGCCTTTGCCGAAACATCACCGCCACCGCTTTTGACGCACTCTTCGATGACAATCCCAGTGACGTCACTCCGAGTATATGAAGTATGCTCAGAGCTTCTGTGTTACGCTCACCTGTCGATTTCGCCGGTCGAAGCAACTGACTCTGACAGGCCCCTTCGCCTGGCGCATCGACACTCGCCGACCAGGACGAAGCGGAACACGTGTTGATGGCTACTGCTACGTAAACGAGGATCAATCAGGCTGGCGGTGCCGACGACGCCGCCGCGGAGAACAAACAAAGCTCGACGCAGTCGAGAAGGAGAAAACGACGGACAAAGCTGAGAGCAGCGCTCGGGGCCGAGAACAGGAGGCTGATCGAGCAAGCTGGCGAAGGCGGAAAACGCGCACGCGTCGTCGCCAAGCACAGCAGCGCCTGCGAAAACGCACAGTTGGCGGACGCGCTCCAACAAGCAGCCTGCTAAAACGCACGGGCCAACAAACACGCGACGGCGCAAACAACACACTCTCGCAAGAGAGAGCTCCGCCCGCGACGAACCGCATCACCACCAACGACCCTACTCAGCGTCGCCGAGACAGCAGTTGCTGTGGGACACGCTACCGCTTAGCAAATGTTGAGACGGGTGCGAGAGGACTTATCCCGGTTGTTCTATGCAAGCATGGCGCCCGTGGTGTTGTTGAGAATGGTGCTGCGCACGTCTCTCTCTCTCCTTGATAGGCGATAGTATTTCGGAATACCTCTCTCTCCGGTCGCCATTGAGGTGGAGCATTCAGCGTCGGGTATATGCGGCGTGCGGGGGTTTTGATTGGCTGATGGGGCGCGGAACCCGCGGGGGCACGGTTACGAGTACCCCGACAGAGGCAGATGAGTAGGTAATTTTATTAGAGCTTTCTTTTAAAGCGAGATCTCTTAGAAAATCTAAAAAGCTTAAAATTTTAGTATAGTAGAAAATTCGATGTAGTGCCCCTATTACACTATAATATATCACTTGGTCTGCTGGTAATACTTAATAAACCTCCTCAGGGGGTCTGCTGGCCCTATTCGATTCGCGTCCCATGGTCGAGTTGCTTGCTACAAAAAGCAGGACCAAGCACACGCAACTTCCTCCCCAGCAGAACACACATGCGCAATGCTCGACAATGACCCATCTCACAACCACCACCGCCCCGTCCAGCCGGTCATTTTCCCCGCCGGCAACGAATCCGTCCGAAACTGCGAAGCTCTGGAAGCTCGTGCACAAATCGAACATGTCGCAACTCCCAGGACGCAGTGAAGGATCCGCAACGCCGCCGTCGCCTCCAACGAGCTCAATTCCCCGCGCCACTTCTGTCGGCAGCTCTGCCACAAACCGTAGCACGCGTATCAACCCCCAAAACCCTCGCTTTATTGAACGCATCCTCCAACCACGCCGCATAGACATCGACAAGACGAAACGGACGACCCCGAGCGCATTCTCGCATTTTGGCACGTCCAGCACGACGGCAGACTCCCGCCAGCTCCCGGGCCTGGAGCAAGCCAGTGTTTTGGTGAGAGATGACGAGCACGAATTCGAAAAAATCAGGGACGAATACCGAGAAATGAGGCTGGAATGCCTTTGCGAGGCCGAGTTCGCCGCCTTTGGCACCGAGTGCTTCTTCCGCGGTCAACGACGGGCGGCGCACGCGACCGAAGACTCGCTGCTGCGCGTTGTACGCATGATCCAGCCCGTTTCCGTACCCGACAGCGACACGTTGCAAGTCCCGCCGGTATTGCTAGAGATGGACGGCACAGAGTTGGAAAATTCCGCTGCCGAATGGGCGGGCGACCTCCGGCCAGATTGCAGCTACTGGCTTTCCATACGTGGCTTCAACCGCGACTACTCGCATCAAGTGCAGACCGTCACGTACGTCAAACACAAGGCCATTTGCCCGTACCTCACCGTGGAGTTCAAGCGCGACAACGAGTCCGAAGATGTCGCCATCGCCCAAGTCGCCGCCGCCGGCGCCATCGCCCTCTTCAATCGATTCCGCCTCTACCGCTCCGCAGTGGCTTCCAAAAACGACCAGTGGGTACTGGTGCCTGTTCACGACTTGCGCCACTACGCCATAACTTTTGTAGGTAGTCGGTACGTTGTCTGGGTTTTACGCGTGCGCGTCGATTCCTCTGCCGAGTGGGACGGTTGCACCATGGAGAGGCTCGTAACGGCAGACTGCTCTGAGAACTCTGTCTCTGTACGTGAGCTTGCACACTGGATCAATGAGATCCACAGATGGGCCTTGACGGCACATGGTCCCGAGTGCAAGAATGAGATCAAGGCCGTGCTGAGGGGAGCGGGAGTGCGGACGTCAGATATATATTCTTTGGCTTAAATTTCAACACTGGTTGTGATCACCCTCAATGCCAGCTTTTTGTTTCCGTGCTTCCCAATCACGACCTTGACCCCTAAAACGACCGCAACATTGCCATTGTCCAGCCTGTCGTTTACCCTCTTCCTGCTTCTCATCGCCGCACCATTTCGCTTTCCGCCCATGTCAATGCTTTGTTACCGACCACAACGCCCGCCTCCATCGAACCTCCACCGCGGGTCCCACCGTCATCACCACCGCCGACGCACAGGTGTGCATCACGCTCCACAGTCCGTGACGCCATTCTTGCTCTGCACCATCTCCGCCGCCTACCGTCAACGACCGAGTCTTGCCGTCTCTCTAAATACGCATTGTGCGAGCGACGAGGCACGAAGATGCAAAACTACCCATCTTACTGGAGCTTGGCGTCCAAAGTATATCCTGAGCTTCCAGGATTGCCAGTTTAATACCATGTCCGCAGTGGTACGAGCTACGCAATACATCTCGATGCAACACTGAGGATAGGCGTGTTTCCCCACCATTCTCTCTCCTTTTTTTTATGCTATACTAAATTATAAAATAGTATTTTTGATGGGGTGATTATCCGAGCGAGAAGCAAGGAAAGTTTTCCGGCTTCTGCTAAACCGGAGGGGCAACTACTAGACGACGATTGTAGCGGCTGGCAACAAGTCTAAACAATGGGAATCCCTCTATTTGTTAAAAAAAAAAAAAGTACCCTTTCTACTGGGCTTTTGTGGTATCGCCGACGAGGCGCAGACGCTCGCTATATTTCTCGTCGACTTTTGGCGAGCCGTCGGGCGCAAGGCAACCATCCACATCCTCGTGCCGTCAGCCAAGAAAACGCACATGCGGCTGGTCTGCTCCCGGCGCTACCGGTGTCAGAACATGATCCAAAGGGCAAGGTGAAGAGGAAGAAGGAGCCAATAAGCCTGTCTACAAGCCAGAACATGCTCAGGGAGACTTGCGCTATGGGCGCAGGTATTGCTGCGGGTATGGTTGGGGGTTGCGTCGGTGCAGGAGCTAGTGCAGCTACTGGGCCTGCCACCAATTGTAGTCGCGGCACCGACAGCCGTGGTTGCTACCGGAACTGCCGAAACAAGGGCGGCAGGCTGGGAGGCCGCGTGCTTCTCGGAGAGAGTCGAAGCTCAGGTGGTCCGGACGCTACCCCATCCGAGAAGTCTCGTAAACTGTCGCGCACCCCGGCATGTAAAGTAGATTTATGCTATAGGCTACGCAATTTGCAGAAGGGAGAAGAACAAGGCAAGTTTGGCTGGGCTTGGAAGACGACTTTTGGAAAATGAAAAAGTTGGCAGCGAACGATTGATTGGCTCGTCACGTTATTCATATCAGACCCACGGTCGATGAATGATCGAAAATGTCAGCTAGTTCCGTAGCCCTTCTATATCGGGAGAGCATCGTCTTATTGATGTGCCAAAGATGGATGAAGTGGATCCAAGGATCGAGGGCCGCGGCTGCCATGCCGTGGATCTGGTCCGCTGCCCGGCAATCTACCTTGGAAGAACTGTAGACGAAGATGCTACGCTTCTACTGCACGACTCGCCTCAGACTTTCTCTTACGACACTCACTGACCCAGGCTTGAGCCGACAGACAATGCGGTATGTGATGTCGGAAGAAAGTTGCAGGATCTAACAGCAGCTCTGTGCTAGACCTTTTAAGGACATAATCCGTAACCGCGCTCTCGTAGTGGTTGTAGCAAACGGGCTTCTTGCCAGTGCTGGGCCAGAATTGCGGCATCGGGGCCAAGAGGATGCGCCCTCTTGGCCGCGCGTTGTCTTCGAGGGCGAAGAGCTCAACGGAACTAAGCTGTAGACGGGTAGCCAGTTGTGACAGAAGGCTCTCCCAACGACTGCCTCCAGGCACCAGGGCGACGTGCTTGAGGAGGAGGTGGCGGAGGGATGGCGCGAGGTTCGACAGGAATTTCACGAGGACGCTCTCCTCAACGACAACCGAGAGCTCGAGCTTCTGGAGCCTTGGCCAATAGCAGGCTCGGGCCAGCCGGGTGAGCAGCTGCTCTGCTGCGTTACCGTCTACTCGCCTGATTCGCGGGTAGGCAATGCGGGGAGAGTCATCGAAGACCTCGTCCTCGCGAAAAACGAGACGCGCGCGCTCGAGATTGCCGCAGCGGGTAACAAAGCTCGCAACCGACGGGGCGATGCTCGTAAGCATTTCATTCTCGCCACCTTTGATTTCCAGATCGAGTGTGCTCAACCGTGCGAAGGCGGTCTCCATGGTAAACAGACCCCGGATGACGTGTTCTCTGTAGGCAACAGCCGCTTCTCGGTTTCCAAAGCGCGCGTTCAAGCGGTGCACCTCGGCCTGTTCCTCGTCATCGAAAGGAAGCAAGCCCCAAAACGGCTGTTGCCGGCTCGTTCGCCGGTCACATGCGTGGTCCCAGTCCCACAGCCGACGGAGGTTCGAGGCGCCCCAGAACGCCGGCCCGGAAACGAACAGCGTGGTGCAGTCCACGGTGACGCCCGCATGATGGGCGAGCCCCAAGGCTCGTAGGCTGAGTGATAGCTGGAGGGCCTCTATATCCTCATCTTCCAACTCGTCCGTGTGACGGGCGATACCGCTACTGGTAAACCGCAGGTCTCGCCAGCGTCTTGACCAGAGGTTGTCGAACAAGTACGCCGGTTGATGCCTGAACTCCTTCAGCTTGGGCAGGCCGGCGACGGCCGTTTCCAAGCCATCCAGTACTGATTGTGCCGGGTCGTCGTGCGCAGGCCCCGGGCAGATGCGCTCGTCCAGAACAGCGCAACCGGGAGCTGCCACGCGGATGCAGCATGTCAGCCGGCAGCGATAGTCATGGGCACTCGCGCGGTCGGCCTCATACTCTTCGTAGAGCCACTGCCGCTCCTGTTGCGAAAGGGCAAGCCAAGGGGCCTGTTGCGCCTGGTTGCCGCCGCTGCCGTCATCGCCCTCTTCCACTCTTTCGCCTCCTGTCGTATGTAGGTCCCCACTCATGCTGCCCGAGCCATTGACACCGCCTCCTTCTTCGCCCACAACAGACACTAAGCCCTGTCTTGCTTCCCCGACCTCGTGCTTCGACGGAGCGGCACTTGCCTCCGGCAGCGACTGGTCTCCGTCCCCGACGTCGCTGCGGCCATCATCATCACTCCCTCTTGTGCCTTTACCACCATCGTCTTCCCCGTGCGTTGCAGGCGCCCCTGCGTCGATGCTATCTTCCCATTCACTGAAGCCGGGGAATTTTCGAAGACCCCGCCTTCTCTGCAGCACCAGGGTTCGTACGTACTGACGCACATCTCCGTGCGAGGCGATGGCGACAAGGCCGTCGACCCCGCCCTCGTCCAGGTCGAAGTGGATTTCGCGAAAAACATACGGTGTCACGATCCGACAAAGCTCTCTGCTTGACAGCCGGAGGCTCCGCCTGGTGCTGTGGTCCACCATGCCGAGTATCATGTCCCACAGCTCCGGTGGCAGGGTGGGGTGGAATCCGACTGCACGCGCTGGAGAACACATGTTGCTGCTTATTCGGCGACTTGTATTTGAAGATCTGATGGTCGTTGACCCCTTTGACAATCCGTATCAGACGCGGCGCCGCGGCTGTAAAGTTGCTTTCGACGCGCCTTTGGATCCTTTTCGGGACTTTACCGAATGCGCAAACCACTCGGTCGGTTATTTTTCTTGTGAAAAGGAGGCGCCGAGCCTTTAAAATGGTGCAGCCTTCGTCGTGTGCGCGGTTGTCCGTTCTCTCGGTCTGGACTTGATGCGGGAGGTTGAGAGAACACGCGGGGGTTTTTGATGCACGGGCCACACGCAAGCCTAAGTAATATTCGCGCGGTTTCCATGGCAGGGGGCTGATGTGGCCTTTGCAAAGCTTATTTAACCAATCAGAAGTTCGGGCTCAGCTTCGAGACGCCCTGCTACCAGATCAGCGCTAACATTACTTGTTATGCCCCCAGCCGAAACTGATACTTCCACTTGCCGTTATCCCATCGCTATTATCCCGCCTACATTTCAACCCATGGCCTGCATTTCGTCACCTCCATCCCGTCGCTTTTGTATACTACAGCACGTCTGTTTGCTTATGGTTCCGAACGTCTGTCAGCTCGTAGTGCTGACATTTCTGTTACTGGCTGAGGGCAAATCGGCAAACTTCCCGACGGTTGTGTTGGATGGAAACTCGACGCTGACTGAAATAGTATCCGTCATAGCCGGATGCGTTTTCCATGTTGATCCTTTGATTACAGTCACGGCAAGGATCGGTTTATCCACGAGTCCGACGTAACTCTGCGTTTGAGCATCGTTTTCCATACTGAAATTCGCCGGGTATTCATTTCGTGTACGCACGGACGTGCTCGAGGAACACCAAAATCTTAAGGCTCTTATTTAATTCGTTGTTACGCAATAAAAAGAAGGTATTTCTTAATAAAAAGTAGATATTTAAAAAGAAAAAAGAGGATTCTATAATACGCTAGAAGTTCGTCTTAATCCCTCGAGTTAACGTAGAGTTACCTCTAGACGGACATTTTTCGACGCTGGAGTCAGTCGGACCCCGTGGATAAACCGATCCTTGCCGTGACTGTATTCCCGTCTACGATACGAGGCTACAGCGACTCTCTTCGCGCGCGGCGGTTTAGTAATCGACATCTGCGTGTATGATACCACCGCTTTACGCGGGCGGTGGGAGGAACATCGAAATTCTGCCACTCCTCAAATGCCTATTACCGACATTACGTTCCACCCGATGCCTTGCTACTACGCCCAAGATATATCCCCACTGCAATCATCCCAACACTGGCACGGTAGAAAGTATTTCACCACACAACTACTAGATATTGTGAGCTCACAGCTTCTCGCCTTGACTGCACGCTTGCCTTCCCATTACCCCTGTGCTCTCATTTTACAGCCATGTTAGGAGCAAATATCCGGATATTGTTAAAAAGGACTTCTTCGGGTTCCTTGCCCGACACATTACTGTCCTCGCCATCAGTGGTGTTGTCGCGCATGCGTTCCGCGAGTACTGCTACTTTTATTTATATTCTGTATTTGATGCTAACGGTTAGTCTGTTAGTAAGAAGAAAGTTGACGACGTGCCAGAAGTTTCTAAGGTCTAAATTTCAGCTTACGTTGGATCTGCACCGAGCCCTTTCATGGCGTATGCAAGGACGAGAACGCCCACGTACAGTAAGATTTTGCAGGATAATTGGATCGGTGGGAAGGCTGGTTTTATGTACAAGGCTTACCAGCCTAAGAAATAGATTTAATATATGTACTAAAAGAAGCAGTGATTGGTCTTTAGAAGAAAACGCGCCACAAATTGAGACTCTTGTCTATCAAGTCCCCACAGCCAACCACCCACTCAACCACAGCCGGTTAACGCCATCTCGTTTTTCACACCGATTGCAACAGAAAAAACAGTGAAAGCCAACACCACATGCATGCCCGCCTCGTAGCCTCAACACCACCCACCCACCCACCCATCCATCCATCCATCCAACTTACTCAATGCCACCGGTACAAGCCCTCATCCTCAGCCTCATACTCCTCATCATCCCACTCCTCCTGCTCCTCCTCCTCCTCCTCCTCCTCCCCCTCCTCCTGCCCATCATCATCATCATCACCACCACTCCCCTCACTCACCTCAGCAGACCCACCACCACCGCCATCCTCACCGTCTTGCTGCTGCTGCTGCTGCTGCTGCTGCTGCTGCCGCCGCTCAGGCATATGCCGCCTCAGCAACTCCACCAGCAACTCGCCCATCGAGAAGGCCGACAGCTCCGCCGCGGAGGAGCGGCTACTACTGCTACTCGCACGCCATTGCTGTTGCTGTTGCGCCTTCTGCGCGTAGGCGTCGTCGGCGTCGCTGAAGTGCACGCTCCTCCGCCTGTGTTGATGAGGCGGTACAGGCGCAGACGACGATGATGATGCACCGCAACCACAACCGCCGCCGCTGCCGCCGCCGCTGCTGCTGCCGTGGTGGTGCGCTGGCGGCGCTGGGGACGACGACGCTGAGACGGATGCACGACCGCCGCCGCCGCCACTAACACGGGCGGAGGACGTGGGCGTGGGCGTGGGGCGCTTCTGGTGATGGTGCGGTTGCGGCTGCGGTTGCTTGTGCTTCTGCGGTTGCTTGTGCTTCTGTTTGTGCTTCTGCTTCTGCTTCTGCGGCTGCGGCTCCGGCTGCGGCTGTTGGCGTTGCTCGGAGACGTTGCTGCGGGTGCTGGGTTTATTGCTGCTGCTGCCGCCGCTGGCGGATTGATCAGCTGTAGCGGCGGTGGTGGTTGCCTCTGGCTGGTGTTTGTGACACAGCTCGTTGCGAGCGACGGTGGGACTGCCGCATTGGCTGCCGTCGCCGAGCGTGCAGACGCAGCTGCTCGGCGTAGTGGTAGTAGCAACGCCGTTAGTGGCAGGGGTAGAGGCCCGACTGGGAGGAGGGTTGCTTGGTGTCGTCGAGGGGGGGCCGCGCGTGGTGGTGGCGGTGGAAGCAGGTGTTCCGGAGCGGCGCCTAGTGGTAGTGGCGGGGGTAGTAGTAGCAGTGTTAGGCGCCGGGGAGCGGCGCCGGGCTGCGTTGGGATTGCCGGCCGTGGTCGTGGTTTCGACCGAGGGTAAGATGGGCGTCGAATCGACAATCTCTTCGTCAGACATGTCTGCATCCTCCTCTTCGCCCTCACTAACAGCTTTATCTAAGGAGAAAACGCAATTAGCTGGCTGAATTGGCAGAGTTTGGGCATCATTTTTGCCTACCTTCTCGATCCTTATGCATCCAACAGTATTCCTTGCCCTCCTGGGAGGATTTAAGGCATCGGTCGCCCTTTCCATGTTGGGTTATAGCCTTGCATTGAAAGCGAGGCCCCATGACGGTAATTGGGGGTAGTTGTGCTCTAATTGATGGGTAATTGGTGGTTAGGAATGAAATAAGCAGCGATAGCTAGGCGTTCTGTTAGGTCTTTATAGGGATATTCACCAGACTGACGAAATGTATGTGCTGGCTCTTTTCATGCAGAACGGAATTATGCATGAGGTGCACGGACGGGCATACAACATAGCCGGCCGCTACTGCAAACTGCTTGATACTGCTTATTGTGTGAATTTCGCCATTTCCTCTTTCCGCCACGCTTTTGCGCTTCTAGATCAGACCGGGACGCGGGCGAGTAAGCATACAACAAACTATCCTCCTTGGTCTTTTTAGCGCAAAGTGTAGCGGCTAGGCAACCGTCGCGAACACGGGGGGCCGTGATCGGCGACGCTACGGAAGTGCAGCTACCCGTAATTCTTTCTTCTCCCTTTGAATTCACTACCAGGCAGCAGCGGGGCCACAAGCCTGTTGTTTGCATGCTTGAGCGGAAGGGATGGCGCAGGACTGCTGCCCCACGGAGGGCGCTAGCCTTCAGAACGATCGGGACATGTAGTATTCTGAATATAGTATTGTCGTACAATGTGATTAAATAGTGACGAGTGTACTAGAGGAAAAAAAAGCAGAAAGAGAAAAAGTAGGCAGAAAGCGAGAGAATAGGTACGAGAAAGAAAACAACCATGATAGCAGATCGGTGCACAAAGCGCTTCCTTTCACCCCCCCAGCATTGCACAGTCAAAGCTCCCCCTCGTCGCTATCACAGTCAACGCCCTCCTCATCATCGTCGATGCTACCATCATAGTCACTATCATCCAGCGCAGTCCGACTTTCCAACTCGTTCATCAGCTCGGCAGACGTGAACGCCCGCAGCACCGCTGCGGCCTCCGCAGAGTCCCAGCTGTAAGGCGGCGGCCCCGCAGCCGTCGCCGGCGACTTCCCATGATGCTCGCGGCAGTATGTGGCACAACTGGCGCAAACGGTCATGGCTGCTGCTGCCGTCGTCGTAGGTTCACCGCCGCCGCCGCCGCCGACTAGGCAAAGAAGACCAGGACGATAGGCAGGGGGAGGAGTAGGTGGATGGGTGGCCATGCGAGCTGTGGGAGAAAGCCCACCGCCGGCATCGCTGGCAGAACTGGGCTGCTGATGGGCATTGAATGTCTTCGGGCGGGGAATTGTGAAGATGTATGCTGGAGGCCAAATAGTTGCTGCAAGCGGCGGTCAGATAATACGAGCATCGGAGACAAATGCGAGCACAGTTAGACTTACTGCGATGCTCGTGGTAGAGGCAGAACGAGAGTTTGGGCAGTCGAAGATGGGGGCAAGCCTTGCCGCTTGCACAAATAGCTATGCAGCGTGGGCGTTTGATCATGGTTGAATTGGCCAGGGCCTTAGAATGACTGACAGTAACAGTGACTGGTGTTGAATTAGTGCATGGTAGGGAGATGACGGTGCAGAGCGCTGATCCTTAAGGTCGATGGCTGGTGTGTGACTTGGTCGTGTATTACCATGCGTTTGTCTGCAGAATTGAAGCAAGTATGATGGCATCTCACATGTGGGGATCGTGCACCAACAATCATCTCTTTTTGACGCAGTCATCTGCACACTGCAAAAAAGGCTGGCGAGTATGCACCTAATCAGGCTTAGGCCCACACTCTTGGCCGCTTCAGCTGCAATCAAGATTAAGATAATTGCAGCAGGTGCATGATGGGAGCAGTCGTCTCCCGTCGCAAGTTCTTTGCGCCATCGCGGGATCCCGCTGCAAAGCGCCCACCTAGCATGCTACGTGCCGCTTTTCCCTATTGTTTTCCGGTATGTGTCTGATGCACATGTATTCTAGTCGCGGGTGCAAACACTAGTCTACCTTGTCGCAGCTGATGGTTTCGTGGATTTGTTTCTGCACATTACAAGCCCCCCTCTCGCTAAAAATAGTACAAACCAGCGGCCGCGGAATGACGTCCTTGGGCCTATTTTCTTCGACATGATTGCAGAGCAAACTTGGCTCTGCACCCCTGATTGCATCTTGAAAATACCGAAGTTTAGTGCTTTAGACCACCCTGGCGAGAAGAGGGCGATGCTTGTTCTTGGCCTGAACGATCCTGGCTTCAACACTGGCCAGGTCGTCTCCCCCATTGAATTCACTTCATGCTTCCCGCTCGTGTTCGGAGCAATCTCGCTGTCCGGGGACTCCAGAAAAGTGCCAAGGCCCCGAAATAGGCGGTGCGTATCACGGCAGAGACATCATGGAGACTTGTAGCTGTTTGTCGCATTTCGGAAAAGGATAATGCCAAGAGCTCTGCGTCCGCGGGAAGGGAATGCAAGATGCAAGCTTTGGCCGGGAAGCCACCGTGCATGTCTGATTGGTGGCGGAGACCGGGAAAGAAAGCAGCACCTCATGGTTCCATTGCGCGGCACGGCAGTCTTGCTGGGGAATCCTGTCGCCGGCACACCCCAATATCAGCACGAAACATGGAGTTTTTGTGTGCAACTTTCTTCTGAAGTCTTTTCAAGGGCTTTTCTTAAGATGTGCAGATTTGCATCGTAATGCGACTGCTATATATTATGCTGTGTTGATGTTGATAGCTTGGAACGAGAATCTGGTGTTCCTCGCTTAAGGCGGGCCGTGCCACCCTGCTTAGCTCGAAGAGGTTGGTATAATGCACGGTCTATATTAAGCGAGGAGCATTAAATTGTTGCTCCAAGCGCTTCCATCAACGTAGTTTAATACGCAGGAATCGCACCGCGATGCAACTTCGTAGAACTTATAAGAAAGGTATAAAGAGCCTTGAGAAAAGTTTGCATAAGCAGAATTGCATGTTTGGAGGCGATATTGGTGGATATATGGAGGGGGTCAGAAAAGTAGACGCCACCAATAAGACACCGCAAATATCTGTTGCTAGGAGCAGTACGCTTGAGGGTGAGGAGGGAGCATAGCGGCGGATGAGATAGCACGACCGCGAACGTTAATCATGTTCAAAATTCATGTAGAATGAGATATTCTCTAGAATATAAAAAGTAATATTTTAGAGGTATTTGTGATGTTCTACCGAATTCTCATTGTTTTGAACGAGTCGCGGGGGAATTCTTTAGAAAAAGTATCAGATCAGCTACAAAGCCCAGTACTTTACATCGCGAAGGATGCTGTTACTGCTGCCAATTGCATCTCCCGCATGGGGCACGTGCAGGGTACAATGTGCCGGCTTTTGGGAATGCCTTTGTCTCCGTGTGTCCAGCAACCAAGAGCGTTATCTTCGCCCTTCCCGCACGACGGACAATGGTGCTCATTACCCGCCTGGCGACCGAGTGTGAACACGCCGCCGCCAGCGAGTACACTGCAACCATCCATCCGCTTGTGTAACAGGTATGCAGGCTGCGTCCTGTCGAAATCCTGCACACGTGAGGCACGAGACTGGCAAGGATTCTCAAAGACAGACAGGTGCATGGCAACTCCGACATCAGGACCTTCTGGGGCGTGCCCGAGACCCTTTGTCTCTGGAACACGATGCAGAGGAGCTCATTCACAAGCTGAAGTGCGCCAAAACAGGGGAATGGATCATCCCTGCCCTGTACAGGTACGTACTTGAACACTGTGGGCAACTTTGGACTTGTTTACGTCAATCGCAAGGCTCGCGTTGAGGAACAGGGCAGCGAGGTTCTCGGACAACAGCTCCGCAATCGGAGTTACAAGGAGCCGGGATCGGATCACGCCTCGAGCAGGACAAAGCCATTCGACCCTGCGTCGGTCGACTTCGGTGAGATTCTCACGCCGTCTAAAGCGCTAATTATGAAGATGAGGTCCGCCCCGGAGCTAAACGCAAAAAAAAAAAAAAAGCAGCAGACAGACATGCCTGTCATCACTGTCAACCATACGCACCACCAACCGCTGGTCGAAGATCCAATTTGCGTCGAGACGATGCATACTCGTGGTAATACGAGCAATGGAAAGGTTGTCACATTTGGACAGTTGGCTGAGAAGCTCGAGCTGAGTCGAGTTGGAGACTTGGCCCTGAGGCGTGGTTTAGACATGAGGATGAGGTGACAGTTTGCTGGAAGCGCACGAGCCGCTCTTTTCCGCCAGAAAGTGGTGACAACAGGTCCCGTGTGACCTAATGGAAGAAAGTAAGCCACGGCTTGCTCGAACCTAAGACAGCTGACGGAAGAAAGACACAGGATAGACCGCGACACTTCTAGAATTTTAGAAAGAGAAACTTGAAATGATGTGGGTGTGGTTTCATCCATGAGTCTATGTAATCCGATGCAGAAACCGACCCATCTACTACTCTACGCACAAGCATTACGATCAGGCGGCAATAGTTTAGCTTGCAGTGCTATGAAATGTTTCGAGGTTTCACTGTGCTGGAGCGCAGGGACCTTCGCAATTTGATGCATGCGTTGGCAGCTGCGCTGTTCCGAAACCTGCATAAGACGACCAACCGGAAGCGCTGCTTCTCCACGGCTACCCGTCATATGAACCTGCGCATTGATTTGCTAATACTTGGCTTGCCGTCGCTTACAGAAGCCTTGATCCCACCACTCACCCCAGACCAAAAAAAAAAAAAAACTAAGTGCCGTTTTTCTCCGGCGCTCAAACACCAGACTCTATCCCCTCCCCTCCTCTCCCGTTTGCCCCCAGACAACACTGCCTTGATGGCAGCTGCTGCCATGACTGTGCTAGCGTTCGGCTCGCCTTCAGCAGGCCGCCGGAAGTCCGTTGCCGCACCTGAGAAGAAATTCAAGTGCTAGTTCTGCGATCGCACATTCGACACACTCGAATTTGACACGAGAGACGGCATAATTATTTTGCGCCCGCACACAACAACAGCCTAGCCTTGGCTGATGCTTCATCGTAGACACGAAAGAACGCCTCTTCAAATGCCTCAAGTGCCCAAAAACATTCGTCCGCAGCGACGTTCTGCGCCGACACGACCGTACCGTCCACAATAAGGACGGCGGCGTGCCCATCCACAGTTTCAGCTCCCTGAGTAGTGAAGGCAATGCACATGATCCCTCGGCTGCAGTTCAGCAGCAACCCCTCGACGACCCATGCAGCAACTGCAGTCATCCCTCCACCAGTTCGATCAGCTCAGCGTCGCTCCAGAACCCCGCCGTGACCGTCTTCATGAGAAACCCACCGGCGACAGTAGGGGCAGCTTGGTCGGAACGAACCGACAGTGGAACAGCGACCCGGTGTGAAGAACGGGCTTGAGGCTACGGTGGATGATTTTCCAGAGCTGATGCGTCGTTGAAATATAGTCACTAACCTTCCGGAGATGCTCTACGAGTAAGGCTCGTTACTATTGTTCGCAGTCAATCACAAGGAGCCAGGTGGTGCACTGAATACAGACAATCCAAGATCGGCTTTCGGGCCATCAATATGCCATGGCGATACGGCTTTTGAAGATGGCTTTTGAGTACCTGAACCGACGCATGCTCCATCGGCTGGGGGAAAAAAGGAATTATTTTGATCTCATAGTCCAGCAGCACCTGCGAGATCAGGAGTGGCTGGACGACAGAAGATATTTCTGTTTTCGTTCTCCTTCTCATGTGCATTGTCTTTCTCTTTCAGTCCATAGAGTTTTTAGTTGAAACCGGCCATCTTGAAAGATGGATGCAAGCGTTGACAGGGATCACTGCACAAGTAGATGGATGCACCCAAGCTTTAAGCTCGCATGTCTGTCGAGATGTTTTGTTATCACCAGATCTGAGCTTGTTGATATGTAATTTTGGGAGTCGGCTGAATATATCGTCTTCTTCTAAACGTTAAGCATTCGGCATATTGATTCTGTCAATCCACATGCGGCCGTGAGTCAGGATTGCGATCTAACTGGACTCCTGTGCCGTGGCAGTTCCTTTCGTCTCCGTATACATTCTGGATTTCATCTTGATGGCTGGCCACCTTTGTGATGTGGAAACTAAGCCCTACATTGACACTGTGACTGTCTTATTGATTCGAAAATGCTGCCGAGAAGCACTTAGTGAGTACTATACCGACCGAAGTCAAAGATATCTCTTAGATATGCAGATTCATCCCACTTGTACAAAAAGTCTCGCGCAGCTGTACACCTCACCCTGACCACGTGCGAAAGAGAGAGAAAGACGAATTGATTATTCCAAGGCTAAGGTCTGCTAAGAATATGTATATAAAATAAATAACGACTCGATCACGTGTTAGGATTACGTGACTTCGTCACCTGATCTGAACCTCAACATCACCCGCACATGCGCCCCCGGGGAGCATACTGGAAAAGTTAGGGTGGTGCCGCCGGCGGAGGTAAGGTTCCAGCGTCGTTGACTCAGCCACAGCGGCCCGTGTTTAGCCTTGCAAAACAAAACGTTCGTCCGTAGAAGTCCAACGAACCAATTAGCAGTATTGTCTCAAAAACAAGACACAGCCCTCCATTTCTTTAACTGTAAGTCTAACATGTCTGCATTATTTTTGGAACGTCCAGGCCAAAGGGCGAGTAGAAACGACAGTTTATTTAAAGCTCGATCGATGCCGGGTGTACGTAGTCCAGCCGCTACTTTGCATCGATCCTTACGCATACATCTACTTCTTTCCCACATCAACACAACTTTCACAACACTCCACTCTACATTACACCGCTTCCACCATGTCCATCCTGACGAAGTGCCCTCATCATAAGTGTGACAAAATCCCCACGAGAGATTGCTATAAGGATGGCCACGTTAAGAAATGTACAAAGCATGACTTTCCTTATTGTCCCAAGAAGGGATGTCCGATTTGTGAAAAGGAGTACAAGAGGGCCGACGGCAAGCTGATTCACCGCGGCTGAACTGGAAGCAGTCATATGCTGTCCTTCGACGCTGTGCTGGGGCTTCTGTACAGGTGAGTGCCCAAGGCGAAGCCGTGGGCTTTCCACACGACTAACAATTGACGTAGGTCCCTCCCGGTCCTCACACCGCCCCACGAGACAGCTTCAACCCGCACCTCAGTCCTCCCGACTGCACCACAGTGGATGATGACGGGCACTTGATGATCGTAGCTTTGGTTTCTGGGGATACTTGTAAGACACGTACGGTACAGTTGTGCAGGCACAACAACCGTACATCGGTAGCTGTTGGTGCAGGACATCAGCATGCCATTCTCATTTAGATCGTTCGTACAAGTATGGGAGTATTGATATCATGATTGCTTTTGTCTGAGGGTCGCATTTGTGTTTGTGTGGTTGAGGAATTTATTTTGACTCGACTTCTGCTTTGCTGTCGGACACCATGTCCCTTTGATATGTCCTCTTGTGAAAGTTACAGAATCAAAAGTTTCCATCCGTGCTGAGCTATACCATCTTGATCTTCGCTTGCATTTAGCTTTGTTTGTCTTACCTATGTACGTTCTGCGAAGCTGTCCACTAGTTGTGCGAAAATTCGCCGGGAAGTTGCGGGGTGCGGGAGTTCTGATTGGTTGGGATGCGTGCGAGACTTAAAAGCGTAACTTCGCGATGCTAGCTGTAGTTGTCGATCTGCATGTCTGGTGGAAATGGTTCAAATAGCTTAGGCTCGTCTGGTGAGTGGCTGCGAGAATTGTAGTTTCGGCTATTAATTGGCACAGCCAACCAGTAAGGTAGAAAGACTTCGTACACGGCAGATGAAGGTCGGGCGGTATGGCGACGAGCACGCTCATAGATTCACCCGGGCGCTCGAGCTCCAAGACGAGATTTAAAAGTGCTACAAGATTTACAGGCCAACCAACTTGCTGCTCTGATGCTGGGAGTAAGGGGGAATAGTAAAGAAGCTCTTCTTACTATGTTGTGCACCAAGGGAAAGCGTAGAAGATTACAAAATTGACCTTTTCTTTTCTAATTTAACTTGTGAAATAGACCGGCCAGTGTTTGCAAGATTGCAATCATATATGATACTGCACTGTAGAAAGACCGCAGCGTACTGTTCTTTCTCTGTCCGTCTCCATCTCCTGCGGTAGTAGTAGACCAGTATGGGGCAGCAAAGCTACCCACAAACATCGCATGCTGTCTGCAGGTGGAGTGGAACCGCAGCGCGGGGTCGGCTGGCATGCGCATCTATCAGACGGGCCCTGAAGCTCAGAGCCAGCCAGCAAGGGGAAACCCACTCAACTCACCGCCATAGATCCGCCACGCCCGTCGCCTGGCACACTAGTCGTCGTCGTACAGCGGCGCATCAACACCCGACGACGCCTCCGCCGGGCACTACCCAGCGTCACAGTCATCGTAATGCACCCACTGCCCTGCCTTGATCACAATCTCAACCAGCGAATCGGCCCCCTTTGTACCAGCCAGAACCGCGTGCCGAGACGCAGCAGGCGCCTCCTGGAGTCGGCAGCTGAAGCAGGGGCCGACCTCGGTGGGGGTGGATGGAGATAGGTCGAAGCTGATTGGGGACGTTATCGTGGGGTGTTGCTGCGGTCGGAGGCTGACTACAGTCTTGCGGAAGGGAGGCCAGTGAGAACGGCGAAGTACTCGAGGCGCCTGGTAGTTTAAAAGCGTGCCTAGCGTGATGGTCGGCAGGCCGTTGGCGATGGCTTGGGAACGAAGTAGCAAGGCTTGCTCAAAGTGGCTTCACCTGGACTGAAGAGCGGCTTTGCTGCCTTGGGGCACGACGAGACTGTAGAGTAATGTATGAATGCACAGATGCGGCGTCTGCCGTCATTATGACCACAGCTCTAAACCCGTTGCGGATTTGGAAGTATCTATCACCCGTTACCGTTGTCGATAAGTGCGTCGGTATATACGAGGTTTGAGGTTATTATTTCTGACCTGACAATGCACCCGACCAGGTGGAGCCGAGTATTATATTCGACGGCTGGCATAAAGTGATTTTGGGGAAGTTCGGGCCACGATAGTTGGGTTTGGACGTGTTCCCGAAAAAAGAGTTGAGCCTAGCACTTATCCCATCTTTTGCTCATGCCATGAAGAGTTGAAGTTATCATCCGGATGTAAAAATATAGAATTTATTTATACTTTCACCCTTACAGTGCTTTCTGTTTACACATGGTGGCAGCTCACTCTGGTCATCAAGACGCCGGTTTTAGTTTGGTTCTTACAGGGGGCTTTTGGCGGCAGCGGCAGGTTCTGGCGGAGATGGCAGCGTGGATGGCGCCGCTTCGATTCTTGGAGCTATGATAGAGGTCTGGTTGTAGAAGCTGTCGGCATGGAGCTTTGTTGCATGCTGCGCCAGTTGAGCGTCGCATACAAGAATCCGTCGTCGTGGTTGCCATCCTGCGCGTCCATAATGCACAGGTGCGCCGTCTTTGCAAACTTGCCACAGTTGTGGACGGCGCGCAATATGCGCGCTAGGACCATTGTTAAAGCATCGGCATCAGCAACAGCAGCACAGCTGTCGCCTGCAAACGGGGCGTTTCGTTTATCGTGGAACGTGTCGCACTGTGGAGAGCGGCTGCCGTAGATGTCCGAGGCGTTCAGTTGATTCAAGATGCGGCAGTGGAGGTGAATTAGTTTGAGAGAAGAATTACAGACTTCTCCCGCGTTGGCCAATTGGACCCAAACTTGTCTCTCCAACACAATGATCCAATGATTTTACAAAACAACTACCTGTTAAGCTGGTCATGTGTTACAAGGAGAAACCTAGCTGTTAATCACGGCTGGATCTGGTCGTCGTCCCGCCAATCAATCTCTATGGCAGCCATATAGCAGATGCAATCCAGATGCATGAAGCCATGTCGAGAGGATCCTTTGTGTGAGGGCTTAACATGGAGGATAGCTTGGATGGCATCTTTGACTTGCTGAAGACGCCGGCCAGGTTATACACCGCCAAGTTAACGATTGACTCACTAACGCCTCAAGTCTGGGCACCGAGCTGATTCACGCTGCGTTCGCGGAAAAGATGGCCAACTGTACCCCGGAATCCGTCCACCTGCCGGCCAGTAGCATTACTGCAGGCTAGTAACCTTAGCGTCCGCATCGCCGAGACGATATCGCACGCTGTTCTGGCAGCTTTTCGTCAGCAAGCCGCCGATCCTGGTAAGCTAGACCCGGGGCACGCTGCAGTACGACGTTTAGGAGGGCGCGGTGCCGACCGAGTAGTGCAACGATTTGTTCTAATTACTTATTATTGTGCCTTGATCCATTCTCATTACACGGCGTCATTCCAACGGCATCCAATACGTAGGCGAATCGGAAGACCAGCAGCCTCCTTAAACCGGTTCCACGCGGCGAAGAGTACTACCAGCTGCTCCGCTCCGTCCGAAACGCGGATGGGACAGGACCGTTAGCGGGAGGCAGCGCGTTGGAGCGAAGTCCACGGCCTGGATTGTTGCTGTTAGTACTAGGGCGTCGAATGTCAAAACGGCACTGGACAAAGGAGTTAATAGTAGGTACTTTTCATGCTTTCATAACAATGTCATTCTCTTACAACAACCTTTTTTTTTAACAATGTCTTTCTTCTAACACAGCGCTTCGGTGAAATGTCTATATAATCCCTCTAGACACTGGGTAATATTATACTTTAGGAAAAACAACGAACGACAACACGATGCCTCCCTACAGCAACCGCTTCGCGTTCCTATACTGCGAGCTTTTCGTTAAGCCTAAAACATATGGCCAGGACCTTCCCGAGGAGCACCGCGAATGCGGTATATGCCTCGAGACCATCGAAGATGCGAGCCTTGCGGTTCGCAACTGCCCGACTGCGCCCCGGCAGCACAACTTCCACCTACTCTGTCAGGTCAAGTGGCTGTCTTATTGGCCAAGAGGATCGGACGGTCCAAACCGTACTTGCCCTACGTGCAGCACCGAGCTGTACAGAAAGGACGACTTCCCCGTAGAACGTGCCCCTAGCGAGGAGACCGCTAGGCGCCTCGCTGATATCGATAACGCCTGGGAGGAGCTGCTAACTGCAGCTACCGAGCGGTTCCCGCCTACGCCCGAGGACAAGGGCTACATTGATGAGCAGGCTGCTCTTCGCACGAACGAAAACATCTACCGCGACAGCGGTGACTTCACGGTTTTCTTCGAAGGTCTACTCCTTATTACCGTACTAGTCTACCCCGATAGAATCGAGACTAGACGTGCGGTTGCGTATCTTAGAGACGATGGAAACGAGGAATTCCCCTTTCCCAAGGGTAATGCCTATCTAGAATCGATACGGGACCTTGATTCGCACCTTGCTTGGGTGAACGACTTGCAAAGGGGGCTTGGCTTGACGTTCTAAGGTAGCTGGTTCTTAATCGGTTTATTCGGTATCTTTGTTCAAAAAGACTTGTAATTACGAAAAGAAAATGCGTTAGTAGAAAAAAAAAGGAGGGATTCCCCTCGATAAAAAAAAGAGGGATTTCCCTCGATTAAAAAAAACTCATTTTAGCCAATTCAATAACGTGCTCATACTTTAACCATATCCGACATAATTTTTGTGTTCAAGTCTACCAACTCGTCTAACCGCGTTTGCCTTGTCTTGGACAAGCAGCTCGGTACGCTCTACCTCGTCAGTACAGACGAGAGGCGCGCGAAGATGCCATCCGATTTGCCTAATAGAAGATCGTAGCTCTCCCACACGTCAAACAGCGTATATGTAGCCCCCCCTACGCCAACAGTAGCCGAGAGGCCTTAGTACGCGAGCGTGCAACCCCAGTAATTATTTTATGCACCTCGACACCCATTCTGGTCGTGTTATTCCGCCCCTGGACAACGGCTTCTGTCACATAGCGCCCGCGAAAACGACTGTACGTGCATATCCTACCTAACTAAGGACGGCTGTGTAGTAGAAAATGGTACACACGCGACGCGGCGCAGTATATAGAAGCGAGGTACATGTTTGTCTCGGTGAGGGGTGGTAGATTGAAGGAAAAGCTGCTTGCATTGGCGGCTGAGAAGGAATCTATTTGGGAAGTCAGTCGTACAGTCCGCCTGTCAGCCGTGATGCTCGCGAGACGAGGCAGGATCAGCTAACACGCAGCTAGAATCAGCCGTGATGGCTCCACCCGGCCCTCGGACATCGGCCGTAGCCACGCCGGTTCCAACTTACAGTGAACAATTCTAACTACTGCGTCCAGTAGACTGTTAAGACGGACGAGGTGTGAGTACTCGAGAGTTTTAGTAGCGTCACGTGCGACAACCTTTACCTACAATTCGTAGCCACCGGTTCTTTGTCTTTCTTCAGGATAACCTCCTAAAGCCTAAATTTTAAACATAATCTACATTCATCGTCTTTGTGATTGACACATCCCTTACAAGCTTCCACGCTTGTGATTGGCGCTTCTTTGATCTACTTTGTCCAAGCTTGCTTTGTATTATTCGACGAACTTGTTGTTGGGAACAAAGGCGCTCCCGTTCCAAACTTCTGGATGCAGGTGGAATCATTAGTAACTCCTCCAGGATAGCGGTGTTTTCTTTGGAAAAAAAAGATTATTTTGGATATTGATTTATGTATAAACGTCTAAGTTTCCGACCTTGATCGGTAATTTGGTCCGAGCCATTCTCCTTCTCATTTCCACTCGCCTCCGGCGCATCGCCCTAACAGCGCACTGTGACGGCGGGCCTCTGCCTATAAGGATCTCCAAACCAACGAGGGCGGAAGCCTATCTGGGCTTTCCTTGAGTGCGTACAAGAAGAGGGTGAGAACGAAGTGAACAAGTATCCCGTTTGATAGCAAAAGCTCATGCGATGTCTTATCGCGAGAGCTGCAACATACGACCAGAGTACCGTGGCGAGCGAGACATTTGTGCTACTACAAAGTCATACCCTCCTGGGTTATGCTCCTCTTTATCAGGATTGCGGACGGAAGGTGGATCTTGGCGCTGAAGCCACTTTCATCTCGATTGGCCACCTGCAGACACCATGCTGACCGCTCTAATATGCACAGTAAGAACGCGGCTGCGGCTGCCAAATAGGTAGTCGGGCACTTCAGCCTTGTTGCCTCAAGAGCTAGGCAACGCCAATGCAGTCTTGCTTATTTAATTTGGACTTCTGAACATGACGCCGCAAATGGCCGTGCCAGGTTCTCGCCTTGTTTTCAGCATGTACAATAAAACGGTTTATTTCAAACACCGAATGTAGCCCCCGCGAAACAAAAAGAAAGAGAGGATATCACATTGTGAGCAAGTTGCCGATAGGTTTAGCGCAGTGTTAAGAGATTCGGAGAAGGACAAATGAATTACATTGGCATCGGGATTCATTACAGAGAATTGCCTGTACGAGCTCTAGGGGGCTGAGCGTACCGAGGACTCTTACCTCAAGCGATTTGCAACTTACTCGGGATGACCGAGACGGAAATGAACATGCCCAGAAACCGCTTCCTCATAACCATTTCAATGCCTATTTAAGTCTTAGCTCCCACCAAGGTCTTCCAGTTGTCAGCACCAAGAGTTAAGCCCGCCCAGATTAATTAAGTCTTCGACATCATGAGTCCCTTGCACTTGATCTGGGCCTTTACATGCCGCGGGCAATATTCCCACGAGGCAGACTGTTTAACGAACCGTGCTGCTCGAGAAATACTCCGGGCCGTGCCAAAACCAAGAGCACAGCAGATTGCGGCGTCAAAAAAAGTCGACCCACATCTTGAGAAATTCCCCAGCTGGTGTTTTCGACGACATCTATCAGCAAAGCTCCAAAATCGCTGATCTTGGCGCGCAGTCCCATCTGATTCATCTCATCCTGGAAAAGAAGTACGTTTTGTGGTTTCGCATATGAATTGTGACAGTGTGCATTTTCAGGGCGACATCGGCAGCTTGCTGTCCTGCAGGAACATGTGGAGTGAAGTATGGTGAGCGTACTCGAGAACCAGGACTGGATATATGGAATCATCTCTGCCTTTCTCCCAAGCCACGTCGAGCATCCGCACAATGTTAGGGATGCGACCTGTGGCGGCTGAGCGCCTTTCCACCTCTCTAACCAAGCTGTCTAAAGGGTCCCACTGTGCGATTTCGATGTTGATGACAAGTCGTCTGTAGACGACTTCGTTTCAGACTGCAGACCTTACCTTGTGCGGAAACCTAGAAACTTTCGCGCTATTTATTCTACAAAGGCGATGAACGTCCATTCGTACCTTTGGTGATTAAACACGCTCTCCACCGTATACTAAGTTCCTTCCCCTTTCTACCAGGCGGCCGTCCTCCTAACCTTTTCCGTGTCCACAGAACACGGGCCCGCAGTTGGAACTGCAACAGCTGAGGTCCAGGAAACAAACCTCGGGAATTCAGCCGTATCGTCCAGAAAATCGTGATAAGGACGGGCTTCTCTGAGCCTTGCGTACACCTTGACTTCCGTTGGTGCAGATTGAGTGGTTTCAAGGACACTCAGGAGATATTCATCGTCCATGGCCGGGGTCGCGGTTGTTCTCAAAGCGCGGATGGAAGTCTGGGGCGAATTTGGGCTTAGCATCGAATTTGCGCCAGCCTTATTGCGGGAAGGGGCCAATCAAGCTCCTCTCTAGCCTGGGTATGTCTCCCATGCCGTCCGGCTACCAAGTCCTGAACTGCAAAGGGAACTACAAGATCAAAGAACGGGGATCTGCTCTGGTATTCGAGCTGCCTCAGACGCTCCAGCCCTGGAAGTCCGTCACCGCCTTGATGGCCGATTTAGTCTCGCTCATCCACGCAGCCGGGTCCTTGACAAGCGAAGTCACTCGTTGCATTTGTCTCGGTGACACGAATTGTGTCTCACCTCTTTCTTGCCGAGTTTGACTACTCGCAGCCGGACGGCAGAGAACAGCCTTCCGAACTGGGCCATCTGTCAAAGGACAATCCGTATCGCCACCTAAAGTACGCATTGGGACGAGCTGGACAAAGGTATAGGCGGTCGTACAAGATATGCAGCCTGGGTGTTGTTCTGATTGATGCCCTGTGGACACGGATGGGCGGGCGACTGATGACGTAAAGAGCTGTTCACGACATTTGAGACAAGGCTTTGTACCGCTGTTGACCCACCTTATGGGTTAAGGATTGCCAGCGAGCAGCTGCGGGATGAATTCAATTTGTCCTCCAGATTGGCCTTACGTGATCGCTACCTGAAGCCTTTGATATCATAGCATGCTCCCGTGGGAGCGGAACGGAGCAGGAGAGGCGAAAGGGTTGCGGATGTGCAGAGGTTGTTAACGAGCTAAGAGTCGTTGGGATATTGTTAGAGTGAGTAATTGGGTGGGATGTTTCGTAGCAGCAAGTAAGTTCAGAAAAGGCCGCTCAGCCGATGGCAAACGTGCGAGCCGGCCGGCATGGTAAGGCGGCCGAGGAAGTCACTGAATACTGAGGAGATGAACGGATTTTGTATTGAGCTACCAGAAAAAGCAGGATAACGGATCTCCTGCACATCGCATCAGCGTAAAGCTTCTGGTTGGCTTGATGACTAGTGTCCTTTGCGGTGCTAAGCTGATTATTTGTGTCGTTTCTCCATATCTCCCGCCGACACTATACAGCATCCTTGTGTGGTAATCCATCCCATCCAACCACAGCGACAAACATCACTTATTGTCTGCATGTGAGTTTGCCGGGTGGTCTGCTGAATGGCCTATCGAAGAGTTGTCGGTTGCTCTAGGATCAGGAATGAGACCACCTTCGATCTCGGCCTTCTTCATGAAGTAGGCGGCGATACCAGCGACATATTGGGTTTTCAAACGAGACGTTTCGGCCCGCTCCTCTTTTTAATCATCAGGCAGCTGATCTGCGCCCAGGACTGCGGTGAAAACGTACCTTCCAGCGTCTGCTTTTCGCGTTCAATGGCAGCGCGCTCCTTCTCCTTGTATCGCTCGAAGGCATCTCGTTCAGCTAATATGGTCAGCTACCTACCATTATAGTCAGTCAGGAGAGAGCAACCGACCGGCAAGCTGAGACCATTCGCGTTTGCGTTCTTCTCTCTCATCTGCCATTGGGGATGTCTGGGGAAAGAGAGCTCCCTTGCGGATGTGCGGGGTTTTCGTTGATGGCGAATGGCCAGATATGGGTGCCATCGCCCCATATCTCTGAAACAGCCTCATGCATGCAATTACACATCATTAGACCAAGTCGCATCCGAGTGTAACACGTTGAACCAATCAGAAACCTGGGGGACAGCCAAACAACGGCGTACGGTGAAACACGTCCGTCTCATGCGCCACCCGCCCAGCCTCGGCCTCTAGTGTCTCGGCTGTCCTCCCCGAGCCTTCGTGACTAAGTGAGTTAGGTGCTGTGGAACTAGTGCTCTTTTGTCTCGATTTTACTGTCCATCGCAGTTGAACCATCAAATAGGAAGTTCTCTCGCCGGGTACGTGCAGCGTGCGGGGGTTCTGATTGGCTGGACGGCACGTACCCTGCAAGGTCTTCGCTGCCGTTGCTAAAAGTCCCTAATGACGGGCAACACGGGTACGTAAGGGGGTCTGATCTGTCCTTTGGCTGCTTGGCGGCTCTTGCGACGCAATGGGCGCTGTTGAAAGCGGAAGTCGTGGAGGATCGAACGGGTTGGCGTGCGGCGCTGGCCCTGAACATGTCAGGAAATCTTGCGCATTCAGCTGTTTGATAATTCGTCTCGTCGGGCCCGACTACCGTTCTCCCCGCTTTCTGCGCGTCACTCACAGGCTTTAACCCTACAATCGAAAGGTAGTACGTCCGCCCCGTTTCCAACAACCTCTTGCAGATCGCGAACGTCGAATTCCTATTATATTACGGTTAGCCTAGGCTTTTCGATGTTGAAGTCTGAGCAGCCTTGGCTCGCCGCCGAGAAATGGGATGGAGAAGTGAGTTATGCATACAGTAGGGCGGCGCAGTAGACATGCGTGTCAGAATGGCGATTGAGAGAACTTCCTGCGTAATGCAGGTGGCGTCAGCTGAATGGATGCGGGTGGCTAATGGGAGCGGGAAGGATTGGCGGACAAGGTCCACAGGTCCTTGGTGCGGTGCGGCCTGAATACAGCGCAGCGGAAAGTTCAGCCGAGCTCCAGTTTGTTTCGACTGCTCTCCACACCACAACCAAGCTCGCCATGCTACTCCCTCGGACGGAATCAACCCGCCGTCCGAGCAGCCACTCTGCAACAAGACCCTCGCACCCCTGCTGAACAAGATTCTCCGGACAGCAGACGCGCTGCTCTCAGCGTTGCAAGTCTACGCCATGCGACCGAGCTGTTCAGCAACGCCGTTGCTCGTCTGGCACAGCTCGATGGCGCCTCGAGTGGGCACAGCACCCGAGCTATCGGTATGACCTCCCCAGATCCTTGGGCGTATGAGAGACAGCCCTGAACGAGGCCGATCAAGAGCGTAAACAAGGACGCCTGGCCCAAGTTCGCCAGGTCGACGTCGGAGCTGATACACCCGAAGTACGAGGCGTTGCTGGTGCGGCTGCGCGAGCAATATGGAGCAATCCTTCTCTTATTAGCGCTCCGAGCCCGGGGAGCACGGCGCACAGGGACCCCGGATAATATGCGCGAGGGCGATAAAGCTGCGATTTGTGAAGATACTGTAGGTCAGCGTGCAAACAGACTCGGTCGATCTCGAAGTAGGCGCACGTTTCGGAATGGAGGTGGAGCGAGCGAACTCATCCGAGTTGGCAAAGTCTTGCGGCATAGGAGGGGGGACGAGAGGTCGAATTGGAAACGCTTTGGGGACGTATGGATGGATGAGGGAGGCGCGTCCCACGACTATCACCACCCTCGATCGACCCAAGCTACGCCTCCAACCTCGCAAGTTCAGTTGCCACTCCCTCTCTCCTGCAACTGTCGGTCTTTCAAAACCAATTTATTGTCTTACCAATCCTGCGGGTGTCGCGCTGAATGCCCGTAGAATCAAATGTGGTGGCCGGGGCTGACAACGCGCCCAAATTGCCATCCCTCAGTCTACACGCCGTGGAGATGCTCTTTCCCCACCCATCCTCTCCTCGCTTGTGTCTCTGGGCCATCAGTGCCGCCGCCTTTGACTCCCTCTTTGACGGCGACCCCACACCATATGTGCGCTTGCTGAACGAGCTGGTCACACTCGCCAAGGCCGCCGACTTCGACACCGCCCTCCTCGCAATGCGACAGACGCAGGTTTGGACTCGGCCAACTTCGCCTTGTGCGCGCCCAATATTGTCATGTCATGTGCACCTCTTCGTCGATGTGAGGGTGGTGGAGAGGGCGTGCGGGGAAATGGCGGGAGTGAGTGCGGTGTTGACAGTGACGAATGGGAATGGACAGGTCTCAACAAATCTCTCCCTAGCGTGTGACGCGTACTGTTCAGTTTTCATCTTGTTAAACATCAAACTCCAGCGCGCCAGCCTGGGCTTCCGAGCTGCTAATCGAGCGATAAATCCTTCTTTCCATGCTTCCAACCCAAACAAGGTCAAGGTCTTGATGATGCTACGATTTTTTTCTCGTTCTCTCGACGCCCAACCGGCTCAATTTGTGCAACCTTCCTTCCTCCCCGGATCCCTTTGCCTTTCTGAATTCTGCATATGGGGCATTTGTGAAATGCAACGCCGTGTTCTCTTTGATGCCGGGCTCAGCGTTCGGGGAATTGCGTTCCAAAGGAGGCTGTGGAAGGCTTTGCCATTTGGGCATGGATCGTGGAGGAGCAAACGGCTGGCCGAGAAGCACGGGGCGGATGGTGTAAGGAGCGCTGTGGTCTGCGAAAGGGTAACTCTGCGCGAGAAGATGTGAGGCATGCCCTCCCATCAGCAGCTACACAATGGATTGGGACGATTTTCCGGCGATTTGCCCCGATTGGCCCGCAGTGGTCAACACTCGCCCGATTGTAAACGCCGATATGATACGATCGACATGCAGGCAGCAGATGCAGGCAGTGTCGGACAAATGATGACTCGATGCGGTCGAATTTTGGGGCGGGAAAGCGGTGGATGACTGAGACTGAGACGCGCCGTGTGTTGAGTGGTTTGTTCCGTTGCACAAGGGACCTCGGGCGCGTACGCGTTCGGGTGACGTCACATCAGCGAACGTCATCCTTCTGACACCAAACCTCTTCGCCTGCTCGACAGCCTCCGTCATCTTTGAAGCTCGGGATCAGTCTCCGCCGCCTCTCACGCCCATTCGTTGAGCGCCGTCGCCCAAGCTACGCCTCGAGCCCATCAGAGAGTCCCACAAAGTCTCGATGGCACGAGCATGCCCCGACCTGTCTTCGCAGACAAGACATTGCAGCCTCCACTCATATCTTAAACCAGAGCGATCAGAAACGTTGGCGCTCCGGGTTGCACAAATCCAGCTGGTGGTGGAAGCGCTTTGCGACCAATGCGCTCTTATGAAAAATTCACTCATCCACATATCAGTCTGTCGCTCCATCGTACCTTCTCGTCAATGGTTGACTGGGAGTCGTTGTTGCCGAAGTATCACCACATCAGTTGAGCCGATAGCGCCGCCTGTCAGTCGATCGAACTTCTCATGACGGTTAGGTCGTCTCACCTGCGCGCACGCTAGTCACCGCTGGTGCAAGTACCATCCTCTGGCGTGCAACCCTCCGAGACACAGAACGCCCACGACTACGGGCTCAGCCAAGGCGGTGCAGACAAAGGACAATGCCTGCTAACACCTTCTGTTCCACCTCACCCAACTAACAAAGCACATTCTATATATAGTTGTTTATACTGAACAAGTCCTATGTTTCAGGGAGAACAAAGACTCGTCAAACATACATCATCATGGCATCCAACCCGTTTTCAGTCGGCAGAACACACCAAGTACAGCAATGTCAGCCTTCGCTTATCTGGACGAGGCTAGCGAGGAAGGCGTGATCAAGGTAAAGTCCGCAAACGCCAGGCTTGCCAGGGCTAACGAAGAGCTTAAGCGAAAGTATGCGGCGGCCACGGATGAGACGGCCATGCTCTTGGCCGAGCTCAAGCTGGACTTGGACAACAGGAAGTGGCATGAGCTCAGGAAGCTGCAGGAGGGTATCGATGACGCCTGGCGCGACATCGAGTCTCTTGCTGCAACGCTTGCCCGCTCAGAGCAGTCGCTCGAGGACAAGACAGGCGCGCTCAACGCGGCTCGCGACGACGTGCACAGGCTGTCCGAGGAGCTCGAAGACATGCAGCGTGACAACGAACGCCTTGCCGCGGAGCTGCACGATGCTCACAGATTGCACACGGCAACCAGACACCGGCTACAGGCCAAATCGGCCGAAAACGAGCAGCTCAACAGGGAGCTCGCCGACAGCAACAACAGGTGCGCCGACACGACCAACGAACTCCAGCAAACATCGGCACGGCTCGACGACGCGCTCGGCGACAACAGGCTCCTCGCCGCCGGCCTGGCCGCCGCCGAAGCCTCGGTCCGCGACGCCGCCGCCCGTCTCCAAGCCGCGTCGGCAGCACGCTTCGCCGCCGACGCGGCCCACGCCCGCCTCGCGCTCCAGCTCCGCGACGCCGAAGCCGCGGCGCGCCACGCCAACGCTCGCCTCCGCCGCCGGCACGACGAGGCCGCCGCCCTTGGCGAAGCCCGCGCCACCGCTGCCTCGTGTCTCGTCCCCGCCACCACCGTACGGTGCGAGTCTTTGGCCCTAAAGGCTGCTTTCCGCTGGATGAGGCTCGTGCACGCCCGCTCTGAAGAGCGCCGCCGTGCCGCTGTTGCTTGCCTCACTCCTGGCGGAGCCCGCCATCGGCCTTGATTCCGAGCTAGTCTTGTATCGTTCTAGCAGCTACATGGCATTTTTACTGAACCTCGACCTGTCGGTGCTGCAGGAAGAGCTCAGCCATCCCGCACTCCAACCCGACAGCGAACAAGAGCTACATCATTGGAAGCTTTAACTCGTCTTGGAATTCAACTTGCAGCCACTCAGTCCATTTCCCAGAACGTACCGTGCGCGGCAAATAGGAGGACTGCATCCGAGCTATTCATGCCCCTGAAGTCTGCCCATCGCTTGAGATCGAGAAGTGATATCGCTGGTGAGTCTGGGTGTTGAGGTTCAGATCAGGTGACAAGGTCACGTGTTAAGATCACGTGGTCGAGCCTTCACTTATCATATATATTTAGGGTTAGAATAATTACTTCTTCTTTCTATCTCCTTCGTATTCCCACACTGGGCGGATGCTGTCCAGCCAGGCATCGATGATTCAGCGACGCGATAGTCGGTTCGCGAGGCTTGCCGCGTTGTTGCCGTGGCGACGACGCGTGTTGGCGTGACACATGCCTGGCGGAAGGTTTAGCCGGCGCTCCGCCGATCGCTGGTCGCCCCGCCGACTGGATAGGTTAAACAAGACGCCCACCGCTGCTGCTGCCTGGCTCTGCACAACCCACCACCATGTCCGTCATTACCGTCTGGCTTGACAACCATCCTAGCGATCCCTCCGACTACGAGTTCGAGGGCCGTCCGCACAAGCGGCCACGTCTGGCCGAAGTCTCAGGAAACAACATGGCAGAGCCGCGCCGGTCGCGCCGCCAGTCGCCACGCAAGCACGTGGCGCCAACGACACCACCGCGCAGTTCCAGCAGCGGCGCGCACGGCGAGGATGCGGAGACACCGAGACCAGCGCCCTCGATGTTCTCGATCCCGGCCCTCCTGCCCTTCTCCGGCGCGCCCCAACAACAATCCGCGCCTTCGTCCTCGCCGAGTCGCTCTTCGACGACGAGCGGCGGCAGCAGCAGCCGGCGTTTCCGCAGCCCGGTGCGCCGTCTGGGCGACCTCCACCTGTCGAATGTACACGTGCATGCGGTGACGCTCGAGAAGCCGGGCCAGGCGCCTGCCGATGTGCGAGAGCTGTGCAAGGACATTCGGCGCGTGGGTCGAGGCAACGGCCTGATCCCGAGTGCCGTCAAGAGCCGCGCTGCCACTCTCCTGGACGACGACCTGCTCGATGATCTGGCTTTCGACGACAACGACGACGACAGCGAGCAGCAGCGTGCCGAGCACGAGGGCTTGTGGGCTGCCGTAAACAGTCTGATCGATGCTGCCAAAGAGTGCGAGGAGGAGGACCTGTGCGAGGCCGACTGGAACAACGAGGTCCACTCGCGCGCGCTGCGGCTCGCTCTCGAGCGCGACCGTGGCGAGAGGGCCGTGTGGTACCGCAACATCACCACGGCCCAAATCAAAGACCAGTCGCTGCTGCCCGCCTCAGCCGCCGGCCTGGCGACGCAGTCGAAGATGGTCGACTTTGCCATCGTCTTGGACACCAGGTCCGACAAGCTCCTGGCGAAGCGTGTCTATGCGAAGCTCCGCCACGAGGACCTTACCGCCATCAACCACACGCCCGCCGAGCATGTCCGGTTCTCGCCCATTGCCGTGAGCATCGAGACCAAGCGCGCCGCCATCGAAGAAGACGTGGCCAATGCCCAACTCGCCGTGTGGGTATCCGCACACTTTCGCTGGTTGCGGCGGCTGAGCGACACAGCCTCCACGCTCCCAACGTTACCTTTGGTCATGGTGCAAGGCCACGAGTGGAAGCTGATGCTGGCCGAGCTCCAAGATGACTCGGAGATTAGGATATTCCGCCATTTGAGTCTGGGCACTACCAGGTCGGTTCTTGGCGTCTACCAACTCGTAGCGTCGCTCAGACGGTTGGCCGAATGGGCCAAGGACGCGTATAGGCCGTGGCTCGAGGAGAATGTCTTGTTGATTCAAGATGGGTTCTAATTTGAATGACTTCTTTGTATACCCCACTTACTATATTCAGTATTTTTCCATATATTGTTCGCCATGCTCAGGTTGATGTCTCGGCCACAGCTCTGTCCGTGCCAACTTCTCACATGCCCGTACATCTTTCTCTCCCAAACTTTCTCAAGCTAGCGTGCTATCTCTACGGCTGCTGCATCCACCGCTGATGTCGCTCGAAAACTTCTATAAACGTCTCTCCCTCTTCAAACTCCAGGTCCCTCGCAAAGCATTCCAATTTCTCGGGCCAAGGGCTTTGCAGTTGTCTAAGCGTGTACGGCTGGCGCCTCATCCACCCTGCCCAAGCCCGAACAACCTGCGACGCAAATTTTGGACTGCACCGATACCACTCCCTGTGTCCTGAATGTCCATTTTTACACGTCCACGTTTCTTTGAGCCCACACAGATGGGCATGGATCAGGCTTTCTACCTGGTTGGCGTAAGGTACGTACTCCTCCACATGTAGCAATCGCAGCCCCTCCATCTTGCATCCATCTGCAATTTGCGTGAGGCGTGTCTCCGGGCGCTTCGATCTGCCGATTTTCACGCGGTCGGGGAAATCGGTCCCCTGGAAGAGGTAGATGTGGCTGACCTTGTCGTTGGCGCTCAGCCTTCGGCCCATCTTCGCGCATAGCTTTTCTACAAGCTCTTCGAGGAAGCGTTTTGTCACAACGTCCGAGGGGCTCTTCAGAACGCCGTGTTTGACGTGATATTCGCAGTTCGAGGGCTCGGTCGTCGTGGTATCGCCTCCGTTGATTGTGAGACGGCTTATTGCCTCCCGCACTTCCTCGACGTCCTCCGCGGCCATCGCCACCGTTGTCGGTTGCTCGGTCGTAGGGCCCTGGCTTTTTCCCGAGTTCGAGGCGCGCCGCGCCGTCGCCGCCGAGCTCGGGGACGGGGAGGCCGGCCACGGTGTTCGCGAGATCGTTGCGAGTGGATCACGACTCTGCGCTTTGGATGGCGGAGGATGTGGCCTCATTCCCGGAGGAGCCGTGTGTGCTACACGCTGCACATGGCGTTCGCGTTGGCTGGGAGTGACGGGACGGTCTCCCGCTGAAGGATTCGACATGGCCTCGGACGCTTCGGCTATGAGTTGGTATTGGGAATTCGGGGACGCTGACACGAAGTAATAGTTCGTTTGTATCATTGTTTCGACGTTGAAGATGGTACTGCTCATAGAGGCGCTTTCTTGCTCTGTAATGTAGTCTTCCTCATCCGACGATTCCACAGGAGCCACAGGGGATTGGGAGTCGCTGGGGCTTGACAACTCTTCCGAGTCTTCGTCGACCTCGGAGATTATATGGAAGACGTGCCCTTTCCAGAGATTGGTGTAGTATTCCATCCAGAACCAATGTAAGTGCTCCTTACAGAGAAGAAGGCAGATAAGGGGCTGAAGCTCGCTTAGATGGAGTGAGCCTTTTGCTTGCCCGTCGCTCTCTTCCGACTGTTCGTCTTCGTCGTCTTCACCCTCTGATTCTTGGGACTCCTCGTTTTTCTCATTTCCGGCTCCTCTATCGTCACTTTCGTGACTCTCTCGGCATATACCCCTGAGGGCGCCGTGGACAATTTTTCGAGCGGCCTTTATATTCCCCCGGGCTACATTGTATTCACACCGCTCATTCTTCTTATAATGAGCGATGCACGGGAACGAATGCTGCCCCCTGTCCAGTAGCTCCCTCATTGCATTAGAGAAATGCATCAGCCCTGAGTGAGGCGGCAACGATGGTTGTTGCTCAAGTCGAGGTTCAGCGCTCTTCGATCTCTGCCAGCGCACCGCCCGATCATGCGGAGGGTAGAGGAAGAAGCCCTCCTTGCAGTAGGTCTTCATCATGTAGCGAGATATATCCGTCTTTGGAACCAGAACATCTTCAGTTTGAAGCGCAAGCAACAGGGGCCTCGCGTGTTCTTTTTGCTTCCGATGCTCGGGGCAGAGAAGGACGTCGGTGAGTAGTTTGGAGACCAGACTGTCAAAGGGCAGCCCCGAGCTGTGGACTTTTTCAAGGACATCGTCGAGTGCCTGAATTGTGGGAGGGTAGAATGAATTGCAACGATGGCGGCTGTTGTTTACGACAGCGTAGCATCTGCGTGTCTTGCGCCCGTCTATCGCTTCAATTGCTCTAACAATGGATTGTAGTGGGTGTGTCGATTGTGGAGAGGCTGCCATCACATCAGCGTTGTTCCAGGGGGCAAGGAGGGAACGGTCGATAGCTAAGGACGTAAAACGCCAAACTCGTGTATGAGAGCCTCCCTTATTTAAGTTTCTCCGCCTCGCGCCCCGTACTACTGGCCAAAAACCCTTGAACATGCTGCCCCTGGCTCCTACCGATCCTACGTGCCGCGCGTCGTGGGGGCGAAAAGCTGCGCCGCAAAACATCGCAAGGCGCATTTCTTGTTCTTGGCAAACCAACAGCAGCGAGAAGACTTTCGAGACGCCAAAGGATCCCCAAATCCGACATAGTTATTTCGAGGCAAGATTGGGCAATGTTCGTCTCGACTCTGATCACTCCCACGGAATGATCCTTAGTGTTGCGGATGCGGCAAGCTCTCAGAGCACTTATCCCGACGATAAGGAAATCGGACCTTACGGGGTATTACTTTCGGTATTTCTCATCCCGAAGCCATGACGATCTTGCCCTAACTCAGCCTCTTCGCGCGGGTATGATACTTCTTAGAGTGCGAGCCATGCACATGGCGTGCTGTGCCGCATCGCATCGGTAGCGATGGTGCGGGGTTTTGAATTTGATACCTCTTCTGTTTCAAACCCCTATCTGATGGGCGCCACATTTTTTGCAAGAGCAGATTGCGGCAGAAAATACCGATTAGCCCTGGCGTATGGATAGCGGGCCACCAGCACACGTTCAGACGCATCACCAGCCTTCTTCTTGCTGACTTTGTTTTTTCCACTCTCTTTAGCTGCTCGTCACACCTCTGTTACACCGAGGACGACTCATTCTCTTCTCAACAACTATAGCGGGGTTGCGGAGAGGACACCCTCATTGTCCGCGAGCAACTTCGCTCTTTAACAGGCACACCTTTGACGCCGGTGCCAGGAGCTCCTACACGCGGCTGGCATAGTGTTATTTTAGATTACTACATCGTCAATCTCCCTCGGTTAAGCAGTAAGATCGAAGGCACCAGCAACTTCCACTAGCTTTTTCATTATGGTTTTCCTGGAACGGTCGACGGAAAGTTGTGCATAGAAGAGCAACGTCTCCCTGACGAGCATTCTCACTGTCGCTACGAGGTACATCGAGACGTACGATGAACCCTTAGATGCTTTGCTTGTTCCTGCTGGTGCTTTTGGAAAGAGAAACTCAAATATTCGTATCGGCTTCGAAATAGTTGCTTACTGCTGCCGAACCAACTTCCCGCGATAACTACTCAGCTACCCTATCCGCGAAGAGGCTTACCATTGTCCCTTTTGAGATCGTCCAGCTCGGCACCCAACTTAACCAGCTGCGGAGACGGGTCCAAGATTCGCCCATACCCCACACCCCGACGGAAGTTCGCTTCATCCTCGGTCGTTTCGACGCCCTCGAGCGGAGGCTGTATGCTCTGAGATCAGAGGCTACGGAGAGCGCAACTGCTGCGGGAGACGCTGAGGTTATGGGGTAGCGGCTTTTTGCTATTGAGGCAGAGCTGGCAAAGATATATACAGCCAACTATGAGTTTCGCCGAGGTTTATGGGATTCCCTGGTGTACTGTGTGATAGAGCGCTGTGAGACTACTTTTTTTTTTAAAAAAAAAAAATCCTGTTGAACTTAATGAGGAAGACACTTCTGACGACAAGACACTTGAGGCGGAAGCGAGTACGGAGATTGAGCAGCCCGCCTATTTCTTAAAGTCTGCGGAGACTGCCATGCACTCCACTGAAGTGGAAGCCAAGGGGGAGCTGGAACAGAGGGAAAATTCCGACAGAAAGCCTCCGGCCATTGAAAACCCACACGGCATTATTCATTGCCTTCTCTGTGAACCTCTGGCTCTCATCCTCCTCGTGGACAAGCCCCGCGATCCAGTCACGTGTGCAGTCGTCCGACCATTCGTCGATGGACGGTTGGGTCCTGCTGGACAACTTCAGGACGGACGCCAAGCAGAGTTTAGCGAATGCAATCCACACAGACTTAACCGAAATCATCCTAGAGCAGCTGCTAGACTTTGGCCACGATACCCTGGAGCACCACGTCATCGACGCCTTGAATCGTCCTTCCGAGAGATGAACGTACCTTGTTGACCCTGCTACATCTTGCTATTAGCTATCTGTCTGTTAGATCCTCATCTGTGCAACAATTCTATCAGCGATCTCTGCGAACCAGCCCCTAAGACCGAGGGAAATCCTAGTGAAGTCATAGCGATGCGATTCAAAAAGCCGCTATTGTAGGTAGTCTTCTCCAAGGCCCTCCTTGCGATGTTTCTCCTGCTTCTCTAAACGACTAGAGCATGGTAGACATCCAAAGCTTGGTTGAAAATACCGTCATTCCCACAAAGCTAGCTGCAGAGAGTAATGTTAACCTACGCGAATTTGCTCTGTGGCTAAAGCCTATCTCGATGCTGAGCCCAGCTCTGCCATTAACGCAGACTATATCACTACACCGAGAAAATTCCCGATCGCCACCTTACCAACTGGACGCGCCGTGCTCGCGACATTGGAACTAATGCTGTCGTTGACGGTGTTGCTATCTCAAGTTATTGATTGGAGGCGGTGATTCTGCGTAATATGCAGACGTATCATACCTCTCGTCGGGCATGGGACGTTTGCAACACACTTTTTTTTACCTTTTCTTTGGCTCTGCTACTTTCCTTCTCGCTAACATCATGTGAATCGAGGGTAACCTCGCACTGGACTACACTGAGACGATCAAGGTCGGCTGGGGCAAGTGGAGTGTGATTAAGAGGTTAGAGGCATCCAGTCCCCGGCGTTACGCCGTACGAGCCGCATTTTCTGCCTGTTCTTGTTTTGAACTTTCTAATTACTTCTAGAACAGTAGTATAACCTGAATTCTTCTGCCTTTACCCAAGTATTAGCCCGGAAGATACAGCCTCTATCTTGAGATCCCCTAGGTAGCTGCTTAAAAGACAGTGAAATCATCTCATTTTGCCAACGCTTCCCCAATACCGCCTCCGGAAGCTCCCGTCACCCGCCTCCCATCGTGTGGTCACAGCCTCTCTTCTTACGCCAGTCCTTCTCCGGCCCCTTTCTATACCATTTCGTCATCTCCAATCGCCGTCCTCCTTCAGCGCGCTCTGCATGACTGAAAAACAAGCTTTGCGAAAGCAACCCAAACGACGCCCATCCTCGTCGAAACGGGCAGAAACAGCTCAGACTACCCCAGATAGTAGTACAGAACGCCAACCAGCCGGCTGCATGGAGTTCCGCAGTCTACCGACCACGTGCGTTGAACGACCATCCATCAACAACAGCAGCCCCCTCGACCCCAGTCAAAAACACGAACATTCTCACTTCCACCACCGCAATACCTCTGAACAACTACAAAGCTAGTCCCTGAAGCTATACTAGCTTCGCCACTCCCCACCTATTCATGTTCAACAACCTTTATTCAGCCCGTCATCGACAAAGCCTTCTGCCAGCTCACACCAGCTGCTCGTGACGACGGCTGGCTGCAGTGGCCGAGACGCGCGCCGAGTAATGTTAATAGTAAGATGGAACTTCGGGATAAAATATAAGAAATACACCGGAGAGATTCTATGACTTGTGTATCTAAACAGTGAGATGACTAGAAAGAAACCCTACCGCCTCCTTGATCCACCAGGCTGAGGACTTGACCGCTTCCACACTCCCCCCTGCTCTATCTCGAAAACCATCCATGTGCCCAGCGTAACATGTGAACTCTCAAGACCACATAGCAAGCGGGTTTGTAGCATTCGCCGGCTTCACCTGCATCACATCCCAGTGCTCTACAATGCAGCTCCCATTCAGCCTAAGGACATCAACCACAGCCGCCGGCTGCGCCGTCCCCCCAAAATCCACTCGCGAAAACACATAGCCATAGCCATCGTCAAAAGCGGTGTGCATGACGTCGAAGGTTGCGCCAGTGTCTATGAATCCTTGGACGGCGTCGATGGCGTTCTGCCGCCCGCTGAGAACGCTTGGGTTGTGCTGGATGTAGTCCTCGGACACGTAGGTCAGGTAGGCTTCGGTGACGTTGCCGCCCTTGTAGATCATGTTGATGAAGTCGGTGAAGACGGCGCGCTGCTGCTCGATCGTGGTGGGGTGAGGTGGGCAGTTCGGGATGGGGTCGCACTGCGCTATTAAGGCGGCGCTAGCCGTACGAGCGAGGAAGCCCGCAAGGGTACAGAGGATGGTAGAAGTTGAAATTTGCATCTTGATGAAGCCTTTATCTTTCCTTTGGAAACGATGTAGGTTGAACCTTTCCTCTCTCTATCAGAGATTATCCTCTTTTAAATACTTTCTCTTCGTTCATGTCCGGAACCCAAAAAGTTTATTGCATCTCAATTTGATTCCTGATGCTCCGTATCCATTTATTGGTTAGTTTTTCTAAATGCTTAGACTTCTTTTAGTCTGCGTGTCAACATTAAACTTTGGCTATCTCGGGCCGCTTATAAATCGCCTGTACCTCGGATAAACAGCACCCGGTACTTCAAGTGCTATCCCATCGGCGGTGCTATCCCATCGGCCGGCGCGATCCTCAGGCACGTCCTCTAGCACGTAACCGATTACTTATCGTAGCTTATCTATGACGTTGTAAAGCAATACGATACGCCTAATCCCTGTTCAATCCTGAGGCTTCTTGCAATGCTCTCCAATCTTTTCGCTGCCTTCTCATTTCTACCCTGCCCGAAAGTGTGGCTCCTCGTACCTACTCTCGGCTCAGCCTTCAACGTTCGCGAATGGGCGTATGCGACTGAAGAATGATAATACGCATGCGGTTACACGGCCAAGGCCAATCTCTAGAGCATTACCGTGTTGCACTATTATGAGCACGCGAAAAATAATGGAGCAAGAAGTGTGTTTGTACGCAGTACGGCTGAATGGTTCGTGATGCATTATCCGCTCCCTCACGACAAAGGGCGAAGACGAGCGGCGCAAGCAAAAGCCACAAAGGATTTGATCCGTCCGTTCTGGATTGCTATAAGAAGAAGCGCCATACTTGGGGCCAAAGCACGGTTCCACCATCACGAACACCCAGGAAACTGAGGGAGGCCAGGGCAAACGGCTCGCATGCGATCGCTGCCGTGCCCAGAAGCTGAAATGCACCCGATCAACACGCTCGGCCCAATACCAACTCATCGGAAACGGCGCGGCCTCAAGCGAACATCTTTGCTACCTCTGACGATGAACACCTCTTCAACATGTTCTCTGACAAGGCCATGGCAGATGTTAACGCAACTACATTTGCCGTTTCCCCGGCGCCCAGCACTCAGCTACCGGCAGAGCATCCTCAGGACACCCGGACTCCGTTCTTGTCGCTCACTGACCTACATCCAGAACCACTTTCCGGTCATAATTCGCCGCTGCATCCACGTGCCACGCTTGACAGGAGGTCAATGAACGTGTCGCGTCTCCAATTGGCAACTCGGCGGCCAACCGCAGCCTGCAGCTCGGAGCTCTCGTGTATGAACTGCAAAGGGATCACGCCAAACATCCCGCCCGGCCTCTCTCATCCAACGCGTTCCTCACCGACTTCGCCGGCAAAGTGCTGCACGCAGCGACCACATTCCTCCGAGCCCTCCGATCCTTCTTCCCTGACCCGGCCCCTCCCTCCACGGCCTCGCTGGCCAGCTCGATCGGAGCTACTAGAAAATATATATAGAACGGCTTACTAAAGAGCGATCTACAATGCCAGGGCTGATTTCGAGTTTACTTGTTAATCATTCTCGTGCAAATAAAAATGATTATCTTTTTTCCTCTTTCCTTACGAACAATCATTCAGGAGATCAGGTGTGTATATTACAGCTGATTTTCAATCACCAACCTTGTCCAACGGCCGGTGATCATACCGAATTAATACTACAGTTTTCTATACTTGTAAATGCTGTCCACGCATGAGATACTCGTGATAAGAGGTGGAATGCCATTTCTAGTCTACAATAGAAGTACGTGATGCTTGAGCTGTGCTCAGGGGTAAACGGTAGGGAGCGGGTGGTACGCGTTAAACAGCCCAGATGGATACTTCCTTAAGGCAGCCAAATGAGGCAGCTTCTCCACCGAGAAGATTGATTCAAGCGGCTCGTCGCCGCGGGAGATATGCCTTCAAGCCATCAGTTCCGGCCGTTTCCACGAACATGCTACGTAGCCGCTCACGGAAATTGTCGACGGTGGTATCGGTAGTAGTATTGTCCGAGTAGACGATCTCAAACGCCCTGGAATGAAGTCAGCGGCTTCTTACCAACTATATCGAAGTAAACTTATATGTAGCCGAGTGCCTAACGCCAGGCGTACGCGGTGGCGTTGCTAGGGACTGCCCGGGCGGCTTGGGTGGTAGGGAAGTACAGGGCTAGCCCGCTGCCGATCGTCTGCGGGTACTTTGTGATCATCTCCTCGAACTGCTCCACCAACTTGGCATGGTGTTGAATACAGCTGATAAGATAGACCTCCTGGTAGTACCTTTGACACAGAGCGGCTCCGAAGAATGAGCTTTGGATGACCTGGTGCCAGGGGACCTCGGTGATGTTCTGTTGAAGAATGGGGCCGAGCTGGAGCAGAAACTCGATGGCCTCACGTCCTTCGCTTTCTGGCCCAGCGTAAACCGCCTTCACCGGCATAGTCGTCTGACAGCAATATCGCTAGCAACTGCGAGACTCTTCTGAGGCCTGTAACTTACGTCGTTGTACTCGGCGTTCCATCCGAGTCCAGAGAGTGGTCCCGGCATGGGATCGATCTCTTCGAGCTTCTGATAGAAAGAGTCGGTGAAGTTGGACGGGTACACAAAATCCGCCTTTAAATTCATCCCGTTGGGCGCTTGATTGTACTCTCGGTAAGTTGCGTTGAGGATAAAGCCAAAATTCTCGAATGCTCCAGAATAAGTCTGGGTTCGTTTCGGTGGAAGCCTCAACAACGGTGGTATTGGGTAGCATGATTCGCACGGACAGCAGCCTGTCGATGATGAGCCCATAAAATCCCTCCAGTCGCCCAATGCTGGCTCCCACAACTCCGGCACAGGAGCCGCTCCCGGTGGCTTGCATACTTTAGCTCGCGCACTGCACCGGGTGGATGGATAGACTTACGAATGTCCTTCTTAGCAGCATATACAGCGTCAATCACCTGCTGGAACTTCGTAGCGCCCCCGCAAGTCAGGATATTGGCTTCCGCATTAACGGTCGCCTCGTCGAACGATGCCGTAAAGATCTCCAGTCCATTCTGTAGACTCTCAAAGCCCTTGTAGAATCCGTGACGGGGCCCTGTAATCAAAAATGTGGTATTAGAATTTTGCGCAGAATCGATCTGATGCAGTCAGGAACCTGAATACTGTTGGTGACTTGCGACACCACCCGGAAAGATGGGGCATAGAGCTCCGAGTAGCGCGTAGTGCCATTGGCAAAGGGTGCATCTCCCGGCACGATAATGGAACTCTAGGGCGATAGCGAGGATTTCAAACAGTCAACGAGCGAATCGTATTTCCCTGCAACGGAAACTGCCTGGCACACCGATGCCAGGGCCAAAAGCGCCAGCAAAGAGTTACCAAGAGTGATCATCATGCTGGTAAATGGGCAAACCAAGATCCAGAAAAACTTGCGAATCAGATGTAGGTGGATATGTACTACACGCTTCTTATTGAACCGCCTCAGCCCCACCACCGTTCCGGCGCCACGCGTAGCATGTCTCTCCTGGCCGCTGGCCGACTTTGCGCCATATAGCTACAGTAGCTGAAAACTATCCGGAAACGAGAAAGGATCACACAGCCACAGACAGGGAAACATTCATCCGTAAGTTGTCCGAGCCCATGTTCTATAGGATGCTCATCTCCGGATTAGGCCTAAGAGTATCTGCATAGTTCATCCTCAACGTGGTCTTTATAAATTCATCTACATGGAATAAAGATAAACGACCAGACATTAAAACACTCCGATTAGGTCGGAGGGTTTGTGTCGGATGATTGGCGCGTCGGCGTAGGTCCGATTGGAATAATCTACGGAGTATAGTAAGTCGAAAGAACAAAGCTAATCCGCATCAGTACAATAGGGATAGCATAAATTCCCTTGGTCGTAAACAGGATTCACGTCCAATTGTTAAGAACGTAAACAAGCAATAATAATTAAATATCATCACCTACTACATGGCAAAATCGACATTCATCTCCTTTCTGAAAATGGCAATCCTGACTACCACGGATAAGAATCAATGCAAAATTCTTTCCGATCTGGACATGGCCATGCCAGATTCGCTGGTTTCATTCTCTCTGACCTTCCGTTGCAACCAGGTCACAATGTTCAAGGCATCAACGAGGGTCTTCGAAATGGACTGAAAGAGGCAGGGAAACAGCTTCCACCCCTAGCTGCCACATTCCACTTCGACAGCAGCAAGAAGCCTCTCGAGCAAATGCCCTTCAATGGCCTCAAGCTCCATGTCCGCATGTTCGACGCCGGGGACCACCGGTCACATGCAGAGCTGGCTGAGAGGTCTTTCCGCCCATCTGAATTCGACCGCTGGCTACTTCTCCCGCCGCATGCGTTCGAAGAGTCAAATAAGAAACCCCTCTACGTCGCGTAGGTCGATTGAATTTCCCGAAGCATCACCCTCGCTCTGGGGTTCAACCACGCACCAACAGACGTGGCATCCATCGATCTCGCCATCTCCTTGATCTGCCAGCGCAGCAAAGCTCGCCTCAACGGCTCTTCTACGCTACACTCCGCCTTCGACTACTAGCGGTAGCCCCTGGCCGCCCCGCGGGAAAACCTCATCTCATAGTTCCCCGACTACCACATCATCGACGCCCAGGGCCTCTCGAACGGAACCAAGGTCCTGGAACGGCAAGGCGTGGCGAAGAAGGACGTGATATACGGCATCGGCGGGCCTGAGGGCTTGTCTATTGCCGCGTCGTTGATCAGACGGTCCATCGACACGACTAGCACGGCGTCTATTACCAGCGTAACGACGTTAGGCCTAGTAGAGAAGCTGCAGTACTCGCCGTTGGGGCTGCTACAGAAGAACTCCCTACTCACTAGCTAGTATTCCGTGGATTCAGCGGCATAGTACTTTATAATCGGGCCACCGAGCAGCATACGCTCATGGGATTTGCCAATGCCGGGTTATACGATCCTCTCTCCGGATTGTGGACGACGACCGGACTACGATTTGTTTGTCATGCTGCTAGAAGCTGAATAGAATATGTTGTGTAGAGAGGAAGAGATGCGCAAGTGGTTCCACGTCTATGAAGGGAATTAGGATTAAAGAGCAATTTCTTGGTAGCTGTCGAGTATCCTGATGTGGAAATAGAGGAAATGCCATGAAAAAAAGATGATTAGCAAGGGAAGCTCCGCCTGTGCATCGTTGTAATTCGCGGGAAGATTTAGAAAAAAAAAATCACATTTATACGAGGAAAGCTACACTAAAGCAGGGAGTATCACAAAAACTCTTAAAATCCCCCGATCCACCTTCGCCAAAGAAGATGACCTATCGCCCGTCGGCGTCAAAGCGGGCTAGTATCTCGCACGCCTTGTTGATGTTGGCTGATATGGCGTCGGTAGTACCCCTCGCGGCGATGGCGTTGTCGCGCTCCGTCGTTAGACGAGCGTTCGTCTTGAGGGCGTCGTCGAGGGCGGCTGTCATCGTCTCGTTGTCGGCGAGGAGGCCGTCCATTTGGGCGTTGGCGGCATCACGCTCGGCTCTGGCGGTGCTGAGAGATGCCTCGAGGTTCCTGACGCGGGCTTGGTCAAGCTGTGCCGTCTCGCGGGCGTCGTCGAGCTCAGTCGTCAGGCTATCGTTCGTCTCGTGGGCATTGTCGAGCCCAGTCCTCAGGCGAGCGTTCGTCTCGCGGGCGTCGTCGAGCGCAGCTGTCTTCGTCTCGTTGTCGGCGAGGAGGCCGTCCCTTTCGGCGTTGGCGGCATCACGCTCGGTTCTGGCGGTGCTGAGAGATGCCTCCAGGTTGTTGACGCGGGTTGAGTCAAGCGGTACCGTCGTGTAGGTCTTGTAGAACAGGTACGAGATTGTGTCCATCTGAGACGACAGGGTGGAGACCTCGGCGTTGGCGTGGTCCCTCGCGGCAGCCGCGTCGTCGCGCTCGATCGTCAGGCGAGTCGACATGTCGCGAGCCTCGTCGAGAGCGGCTGTAGTCGTCCGGACGCGCCTCTCCAGCGCGGCATTCTTCTGCCTCTCGGCCTCCAGCTCCCGAGCGAGGTTGTCCTTGGCAATCTCTTGTTCTCGGACGCGGGCCTCGAGGTCCTTGATCTGGGCCTCGGCGGCGTCGAGAAAGGCCTTCTCGTCCAGGTAGTGGTGGCAGTGGCAGAAGCGGGCGCCGAGATCCCACCTTTCGTCTTGAACTGGGAAGAGGCACTGCTCGCCCCTGCTGTTGGTGGCCTGGCAGCGCGTGGATGGGCGGCCGCCGTTGATGAGGGAGTTGGACATTGTTGCGTTGAGGTTCGTGTGTTTCGTTAGGTAGGTTGAAGTGGTGTAGTCGCAATCGAGGGTGGTGGATGTGGATGCCGAGGGAAAGATGGCCCCTCGAAGCAAAGCTTATATGTTCGCCGTGGTCGGTCATTGTTTTAGAACAGAACGGCGGTATGAAGTTGTTTATATACTAAGTTGTGTTATCTGGGGAGGATGGAAAGGCCGAGTGTTAGCAGGCAGTGCTGTTCACACACACCGGCAGGTGTTAACAGGCAGTGTTGTCCATACGCACCGGCATTGTTTGTGCTCCGAAACCTTCAGCCATTCTTCGCAGCCGTGACTCTCGCTCATTGGCCTCGGCCTACACCCATCTCGTCATCCAAGGAAACACAAGCATTACCATTGCCACGAGTTCGTTTTGCCTCAGCTTCTCAACGAGGAGCGCACAGTGCGGATTTTCGTCACAGCCAAAGACTTCATGTGGAACAGCTGCGAGGATGTCATCTTGGCCATGCCAGTCATCATCTACCCCGTCTACCTGGTAAAGCCGAAGACTCCTGCGTGACCTGCTGCGACAAGGCCTGGGGCCCCTGGAGCAGTCGCCGGGAGGGTGTCTAAAAGAAGAACGAGAGAGAGCCGTTGTTGTGGTCGAGGTTATATATAGGGCTGTCTTTGGTCTAGAAGTTATATAAACGAAAGGGGTGAAGCTGCTTCCTTCGGGCAACGAATCTAGGGAGAAGATAAGTTGTGCTGTTGAGAAAGACTCAGAACAAAATACATGATCGTAAAGGGGAGAGGTTAAAAGACTTGAAAAGACGTAGATGGCAGAAGTCTAAGAGAAAATATCCAGCTAACGAAAAGACAGTGTACAAGTACTAGTATTAAATAGTGGTTCTCTTATAATTATATTTCTGCTATAAATGCATGTTTGACTGTTTGATTGCCTACTGTACGTAGAATGGGGGGAATTCAGATGCACTCGCCGTTAGGACAAAGACGCCCGCCTTGTCTCTGAAACACGCTGCAGTGGATCAGAGGTAGCTTAGAGCTGCGCGTGGGACGTGCAGCAAACGTAAAGTGAGTAGCAAACAAACGGGTCACAAGCGGCCTAGAGTCGGATTTCCAAGTGCATAGTAGTTGAAAAGACATCCCACTGGGCTGGAAACATCAAACAAGGACGATAGAAAAAGAATATTGCCAAATGGATGGTGGAGCAATGGAGCTTTCGACGTAATTCTGTGACATGCCAGGTTCATTGTGGTCCAAACGTACGTAGGTGTTTGAAACCTTTCTCCTCGCTTCCAAACGAATCAGCAGATCGCAAGACCTTCTCCGGAACAACCAAATATGCAAGTCTTCTTTGTGACAGTCGGCTTGGCCAGATTGTCTCAGCCCTGCTTTGTTAAGACCTGACTACGGACTTGATCGGAGTTTCTAGTGGTTGGATTTAGTATGACGTAAGTTTGCCCTTCCTGCCTGCTGCCTGCAACACGGTCCGTCGGAACGTTGGTTGTGGTCGCAGACGAACACCATCGTCCACACACCATGCACACTCGCCAGCCAGTCCATCATCATCATCCCGCCCGGGCGCAGCCAACCGCAAGCGCTGCTCTCCGAGTCGAGCTCCGCCGGCCGTTCGCCCAATTCAGCGCCTGCGACCGGCGCTCTCTCGTCGCCTTCCTCGTCTCACCCCGTGCGGAGCCGCGGCCCCCGGCCTTCCGACTGCGGCCTTTTCCGTTCGCCGCGTGGGTTCCCCTCCCTTTCTTTGCATGCGAGCCTCAAGTCCGGTGCCACGGGGCGGGAAAACCTGTTCGGTGCGCAGAACCGCGCACACTACGTCGGTTGCCGCTGCATTAACGACTTGCAAATGCACTTGCACCGCGTAGCAACGTGCCATCTCTTCCGGTCTTCGCCCTGTGCGCCGAGGAGTCTGTGTATTTCTTATACGTTTACTGCTTTGACCAAGAGTCGGCATAGTTCGTCGGCGAGTTGGTACAGCACTGGAATTCGACGACTGAAGAAAGGGCCCAGGATTTCGTGCGATGCGTGGCTGGAATTGCGGAATGGACTACAACTGCTATCAAAGACTTACATGCGATTACCAACGATGGAAACGAAGCCACGTGAAATTACTGCATTGTAAATGCCACCGTGCTTCTTGCGTCTGTCTCTCCGCCTGTAACACACCTGTCCTCGCCTACCTATAGCACATCACGCCCCAGCTTTCTTGTTGCGTTATAGGTCCTCCTCCTGCTGCTGCTGCTGGATTGCATGCTCGTCACCGGACCAGGCGCGTCGACGAGGTACGAGGTCGACATGCTGGAGCCTTCAAGGCAACCGTTTGGAGCATCTACGGCCGCGTGCAAAGGCGTTTATTGGTACCAGGCCGGATCGTACGACGGGGGCGTGCCAAGGCCAAGGACGGGGCAAGCGATGGCGGCGTTGTCATCATATCATCGTCAGGCAGAGCCCCTTCTTCTTAGGAGTAGTAGTAGTGGCGAGCGGCTCCTCGAAGTTCAGGAGCGCTGCACTGCGTAGGCTCTGAACGTGGACAGCAAAGAAGAGACGTGCTCGGTGCTGGATGCGGGATGGGTAAAGGCTGAGCGATGTGTGGGTTTATGCTTCGGATAGGAAATGAATTTTGCTCGTCGGATGGGGCCAGATGCTTCGCCAATAGCAGCCATGAGGGGGGAAATGACTTGTAAGTAAGGGTTTTGGATTCGTGGCGCGGGAAACGATTATGATGTTGGAGGTGATGTGCTGTCGGGCGTTTTGAAAGTAGTAGGGTCTGCTGGTGTAGAAACAGAGCTAGGGCTGTCGTTGTTAGTTAGAAAGCAGACTGTCACGTTCTATTCCTGCTCTAGCATGCGCTCCAACTCAGTGGCACCGAAGACCAACCTTCCCGGGCTCGCTGTTGGGTTGTCCATTTCAATGGGGGTAATTACGAAACCCAACTCTTTGTTATCAACAAAAAAAAGGCCGAAATGCTGCTCCTCCCGCCGAAATACAACTGTTCAATTTTTTTTTTCCCTCAGTGCCGCGACCATTTGCTCTGTACCTACCATTGCTAAGTCACCTCTATACCCCGTCTTGACTCCCCATCACCACGATCGACCCAATCCAATTTCGTCGTCACTTCATCTTTCTCCTCGCCCAGGCCAGCAACACCCCCATCCCTTACTAACTGTAGTAAGGTTTCACTATCACAGACTAATAGAAGCACGTCACCTATGCACCCGACATCCCCACCCAGTTTCTTTACATACCGCCGATGAACACTAGACACGATGGCCGTGATAATAACGAGCCATACCAGGATGGCGACGCTAAGAGCCACAGCGACCGTGTTCATTTCCAGCAGGTCGACGGGCGTGGATACCTGCACGACAGCCTGCCGTGGAGTGCTTGAGTTCGGGTGTAGTGCCCGCTCGTACGACGCATTGAGGCCGGAGTCGGTGAAATCGCACAGCAGATCGCTCGGTAGGCTCGCGTTTATGGGCTGGTAGGCCCAGCGTCCCGTGTCGAGCGAGACGTTGCTGCTGACGAAGTGCTGGAAGAAAGCCGTGAAGGTTCGCTCTGTGAGATTCCGATGTACATCTGGGTCAAGTAGCTTCTGTGGATCTTTTTTGGCCATGGCGTACATGGCGTACGTCATGAAGTCCGTGTTGAGCCCCTGCGTTGGGTCGCGGATGTTGTATGTTTGGTCCTCGACATCCTCCTCTATGGTTCCAATTAAACTCTGCACTCCGCCAAGCCAGCGGACGGAGGCCGCTGAGAGGAGAGCATGAACAAAGAGGACTCCGTAGCTAGTGGTGGTAGGGTCGGTGTTAGTATTATTCGGCTGGCTGGGGAGTGGTTCCTTGGTTACCTAGTGGTCACATTGGTCGGAATGGCGACAGTGTAGGGGTTTTCGTGCTAAAGAATGTACATGGAATTCACGGGCTGCGTGGAGTCGTGTTGGATGAAGTCGGATTCCCATCCGGTCAAAAGCTCCTTTGGCTCATCTGTTAGGTTAAACGACTTTACAGCACCGCTTTCGGCGTTGACAGCAATGTCCGCGGTCGCTGACTCAATGAAGGGCTTGCATGGAAAAGCTTGTACAGACGGCAGCTCTGTAAAGGCTAGAGTCGACCTTGTTTCGTCTTTACGACGGTATGCGGATATATTGCCAAAGATCCATTTAGTTGCAAATTCCATCGGCCCACTGTTCTCTTGAATCCTGATCGACGTCCAGTACCCAATTGCGGCGCTTCCTTGCGTCGAGCGGCTCTCATTTGCGCAACACAGGCCTTTGAAATCGTTTGGCAGAATGGCCGTATGCACCATTGAAATAGAATCAATCCAGTAGCCTGTATCTAGACCCCTGGGGTGGGAAATAATATCCTCCGCGCGTAAATCCAGCGACTCTAACCAGTATGGGTAGCCAGAAGAACTGTTCGTCTTCAGTTCATCAAAGTGTGTGCATTTAACACTGGCTCGGAGAGCAGGGGTTGAGCCAAGGATGTTTATTTCCGTAGCTTGTTCTTTTTGCTGTGGTCCTAAACCAGGATTCTCGATGGGCGTGTTGCTTCTTAGACTAGAAAGATCGAGCGGAACAAAACTCCAGCCTTCAAAGCTCCAAGGGGGTTGTGACCCATTAAGCGCCAGGTGGATTATAGCGCTATACATCCAGTCGGTAGAGGGCTTTGTGTATAGGTTTCTAAGTACACCGGCCGTAGCCGTGTCACCGCGGTCTGGATCGATATTAGTATCCACGCCAAAAAGGAGTGGGATTTCGCGAAGCTCGAGCGCTCTAGTTACTGTCTGATTGCGTAACAACACTCCTCGGCTTCTTCGAAACATTGAAGACATAGCCATAGTTACTGGGGTCCTTGGTTAATACACCATGTCTTGCAAAGGGTGTGTGACTCGACTTACAAATTGGGCAGAGTGAGGTTCCTATCGTAATCAAAGAGAGGATCCAATGTCTGTTGGACGCCGCACGCCAAGCCGCCCACATCCAATATGTAGTCTGGTACGACAGTGCTGCGCCGTTCGGAAGCCGTGTCGCCTGGTCAGTCATGGAAAAGTAGGGCTGCAACCGTCGGAAAGTGGCATCGACAGACCCCCACCACAACCCGATTCCGACAGCGATAAGAGCCGATACAAAAGAATACAATGTTTCTGCTGGAAATTCCTTGTTCAATCCCGGGACATTGCGCTGAAAGACGAATGCAGTGTGGAATAGACGGGAACGCCGCGCGAAACTGTTAAGGACTAAGATCGCGGTCATGATAGCAATCAGTAGTATAATAAATGAGGCCAGCGTGCTTAAGCGAACCGCGATTGGCGTCCCATATGTACTGTTCGTGCGCTGTTCTTGTATGACGGCCTCTAATCAGTTGATTGGTCAGCCGTGTTTTATGCGTACTGGAATAAAGGTTCTTCACCAGGGCTTTCATCAACATTTCTTATGATCTCATGAAGTCCGGTCTCATCCATTCGATATTGAACTCCACTCTTGAACTTTATAGTACGGTCTTTTGTGGGCTGGCGATATTTATTCAGACTGAGTTGAGTTTGCGAGTCGTTCGTGATGAGAGACGCAACGCCCAGAGTTGTTGCTGGATTTGAACTTAAATTGAGGGGCCGCCTCTCTGGGCTAGCCAGCGACCATAGTAGTAGTGATAGACCAAAATAAATGAAAAGAAGCACAGATAAAGCAATGGAAGTGCTACTGAGCGCGACGACTCGTTTTTGAACGACAGTGATTTGTCCTTGAAGCTGTTCTCTCGGTAGACTGTCCTGCAGGAGCGAAAATTGGAGTGCTTCGCCAAGAAATCTCTGCTTTATTCTCGATGCTTGATATGGGATATCACTTGAATTCGCTTTTCAGTACCAGCGTTTTGGCTTGCCAAACCTCAGTCGATGTTGAGAGAAACGGGCCAAGTGGAGGTGCCTCCAAGTGTGACGGCCAGAAAGGGAGGATTGGGTAGTCGTCGGAAATCCATGCCGATGTCGAGACGTTCTCTAAAACATGGCCTATTGTTCGCAGGTATGTCTCTCTTCCAGCCCGAAGTTCCATTGGAGACGCCTTTAGGACAGCCCTGGAAAACCGAACATCGTGTGAAATGGGCACATTTTGAGAGACTAGTATGGACGAGGACAAGGGAGATACTGCCAGGAACCCGATGATGTTCAGGCCATTTCGCTGAGTGGAGAGACCGTCGGCCAAAGAATTCCACCATGCCCCGGGGGACTGAAATAGAGTGTACGCTGCCGGTGCACCCTCAGGCCGTGCTAGGCGAGCAAAGGGCTCAGAATTCTTGATGCCATCGAGTAGCATAGATGTCAACTGGACGTAGAGAACCGCTATGAGAGACGGAGTGAACCTCCACCCAAAGAGGAGAACAGAAGAGCCGTTGTCACCACCTAGGCCGTTATGTGTACCGGAGATTCCACAGATCAATGCGACGATGAGCGACAGCGTCAGGGCCGAGGCGCTCACAAGGGCGAAGAAAGCCTTGTGGAGAACGTATGGACGCCACGTGGCCGAGTTCAGATGCCTTGTGATGTCTGCTTCGTGAAAGCCTGAATACTACATCAGCATTTCATGTTGAATTTGATGCATGTCAGCGCACCGTTTGGATCACCAGTCTCCTCCGATCTCTGGACAGGAGATAACGTGTCGCTCTCCCTCCAGAATCTGTCCTCAGATGAGCGTGTACAGACCGATGAGTTGTTGGGCGACTCTGAATGGCTACTCGTTGTGTTCTGTGAATATGATTGATCCCGGTCATCTTGACGAGACGAAGACAGTGAAGCGTGGTCGGTATTCGAAACACCTCTTGCGGGTGATGGGTAGCGGAGGAGTGGAATATCGGCGTCATTGATTGGTGGTTGATCAATAGAGACATGGTGCTCCATACTTTCGGTTAGAATAATTCTGAAAGATTTTTTTGTAATCATTCGACTCCAGAAGGTAGCGGCTTTTGCATGGGTACAATAGCATACCTATGTAGATTCCAGGAGCTTTTAACTTGAGCGGCTGGCCGGCTGACGGCAATACTGTGCAATGTCACATCGCTTCACCCCCAGTGCACAGCCGGATGTAGCGCGAACAGGCTACGTAGTGGGCGCTAAAAACGGATCCGTGGACTGAAACGTATGTGCGTCAACCCCCTCTTGTTCTACGTCGCACAGTTTGCCTTCCCTCTATGCGGACAAGGCTGGTTTTACGATTCGGACGACTTGAGTCAAAAGGATTCCATGCAAGAGACTAGTGACACGCACAGCCCTTGCACAGCCTCGACCCAACCACGCACCCTTTTCTCTGCATGTTGCTTCCTCGCTTTGGTGGAACGGAGAAGGCGTTAAATCGGAACAGCCTCTTCACAATTGGGAAATGCTCACGAAAGAGGAAAAAATCAAACTAAAAAGGGAAAGGAGCACGCATATGCCTGCTGGTACACGCTCGCTGTTACGTCGCCAATTCTCCCGATCCATATTTACCGATCGTCTGATATGTAGTCCCTGTGAGGGTCCAGCTGTCGTGGGGACAGCGAGTTATGTGCGCCTATGCAACGGCCAGTCATGTCAACAGCCTGAACTGGCGTTGTTTAAATTGGTAGTGATGCTGCCGCGACTGTACGTAGAGTAATACTTAAAGCTGTAGTAATGCAGAGTATCCACTGTCAAGGTTAAAAAGAAAATGAGGACGGAATTTGACGCGGCGGCGATGTGAGGCGGTTGCATCATTAAACCGGCAATTCCTGGTAGTCTTGGTTGGTGAGGGTGACTCTGCTCCCGCATTGATGCCCCTATCCGTCACGTAAAACTCGCGTAGGTTCTAGACAGCCTAGTTAGAGACGTAGTGGGGAATTACGGCGTCGGTACAGACCTTCGGCCCTGGCACTCTTCGAGAGTGAGCCTTAACAATATGAATAGGCTGAGGTTCTCCGGTAGTAGCAATGCTGTTCCATTTAATGGAAATTACCAAACCCAACGTTTTTTTTTTCTTTTTTCAAGCGACGAGTATAACGCGTTATCTTTACGTCGCATCCTAGCGCGACATTTTCGTAACTGATCAAAGTTTATTCTATTACTGAAAAAGTTAGTGGTAATAACGGCAGAATCTTGATGTTCCTCCGACCGCCCACACAACATAGGTCTTAGGTGCATCGGCATAGCCCGTAGGTGGTCAAACCCCCACCGGTCGCGCTCTTCTTTCCTCTCAACCCACAACGCCATTACCCATCTCCGCGCCCTCATTTCCTCGTCCCCGCTCGCTCGTCGAGGTCCCTGCCCGGCTCGGCTACTTATAATCACTGACCCTAGGGTGCCTGCCTTTCGCTCCGGTCGGTCGGGCCACTTGGCCTTGCCGTTTTATCGGTATCGTGGTCGGCTAGTCCATTATTGTGTCGGCTTTTCGCACAGGCGAGGGCGTGATCGGCCCATCGGCCACGTTGCTGTGTAGGCTCTTCGCGTTTCCGGTAGCGGACCTGGCAGCAATTCGTCTCTCTCCCGCCGTTTTGCGATTAAGTACTATAGCTTCTTGTAAGATCGGTACACTACACATCTCTATTACATTCTCTATAAATTTAAATAAAATTTGTCTTAAAAGATAGCGCTTTTAGCTCTATCTTTATATATAAATTTTATTCGAATTAATAATGGCTACGTGGTGTAAAATTAAGTTTAAAAAATCCGACCCTTTTAGTGTTCCCTCTGCTACTACCCGGCGATTCTTGATTTAAACCGATATTACAAGGAGCTGTAATCCAGCAGGCCTAAAAAGACGTCTTAAACAGCTTTGGGCGGTATGTTATTACGTACGTTGTGCTCACCACCCGAGTATTGTTGATTACTGCGCAGGTAATATCTCACCATTTAAAACGACCTACGATTCAAACCTACCGGCAAAAATATCAGCATGGCGGATTCCTTACCGGAGATTATAGGAGGCACGCTGAATCGGGTTCTAGCGCATTCTACCCTTGTTAGATATCAGAAATCTGGGAAAGTGCAGCACGTTGGGCGCTTTTCTAATAGTCGTGAAGAATTAGAGATCAACATTACCTTTTTCATCTGTTGCGATGTCGAAAACGACAAACAGTACCTTATTTATTTCAACCTGCCCTTTACACGCCCTAATTCGAAATTTCCGAGAGTTATATATCTTGTCTTCCCTATCGAGGACCTGCAGCTCGAGACTAGCCTCGTCGATGCTGGCAGCATTCCACACGTCGGGACAGAGCACCTACTAAATAATACCATCAGTCCTACCGATAAGGTTCTTTAAGTCGCTTTCAAGCTCGGGAGGTCTATATTCGCCGTTATACCCGCTCTGCTACAGCCGCTGGAGATACTAGAACCGCTTTAATCTCGGTTCCTATTATATTGGCGGCATCTGTCGACCAGCATGGCCGTGAATGCCTACTTGTCAGATACCTCGCTCGTTGGCGTCATTCGCAACATCTCTACTGACACTCGAGAAGGCAGACTAACCACACCCAAGCTCGACTGGAAGAACATGTACAAAGGCTGCAAAGGCGCCAAGAACAACTGGGACCAATACCCCTGCAAGTAAAGCGCGACCGACACCAACCTGACTTGGAATCCGTGCCTTAATCTCGAGCCTCCGCCGTATAATAACGTTACACCCAGGCCGCCGACGTCGGCAGGGGAACCGTCTTCATCGGCGGAAACGCAGCTCATCTGGGCGAACACACCGCCGCCGTTCGATCCAGATTGCGTCTTCAAGGACACTGGCCTTTCCGCTCGTGAAAAACGCAACGCAACGGAAAGGCCGGAAGAGGGCCCGCATCGTCCCCCCAAAGCTAGAATATTGATGGAAGACATAGAACCAGGTACTCCCACCGAGAGAGACTCTGTCTCCTCGTCGTCACCATCCGCCATCAACATCCCTACAGCAGGGCTGTGATGGGATTCGCAGTTGACAGAAATGAAAGAGGCAATCCGATCACCACTGCGCCGCCGCAGCGCTCACGTCTCCAAGACCGACAACCCCGACTATACTCGGCTCGCAGCACCCTGCCTCGACATCGAGCTTCGAGAGCTGATCCTAGAGATGTGGTATTACGACCAGTCCGCGCACGACGTCTTCCGCGACCCCAGCTCCTCAACCTCGGCTTGCCGCTTGATCGTCGTCCGCTTCGATTGCCGCCAAGGTGGCGGCGGTGCAGAAGGCCTTCCTCAAGGCGATCCGCATCCATGCTGGTATGTAGCACATGGCTTCCGCCCCGGCGGGATCTGGAGGCCGACGCGACGCGATTCTTGGAGTGGCTCGAGCGCCGCCGCGTATGTGCCGGAACGCGACGACGACGCTGCTAATAGACGAGTTGAGGCATCTGTTCTGGCACTGCTTCGGCAGCGGAGGTGGGGATTGGTGTACGCCGTCGACAAGGGCGATGCCCGAAGCCTTCTTCGAGTAAAAGGCCGAGTGCTGCGCGCTGGCTTTCGTTGCTTTTGGAAGGGAGGTCGGCCCGGACGAGTGAGCGAGCAGCTGCTGTCGCGTTGGAACCGGTGACCGGTTGGTATTGATGTATCGTGGGATGATCAAGTCCCGTCGTCCTGTCAAACAGCAACAAGACCTCTTCACAATCCCCGTCATCCATCACTTTATAGCCGAGCGCCTTATACGGCCCTTGTCGTCGTAGCCTCTGCTCAGCCATCCATGTGCAAAGTGGGTCCGACCGCTCGCGTTGCCGTACGGGAAGAGCCCTGCGGCGGGCCTTGGAAATCACGATACGCTCAGCGTGACTCTTAACCTCCTCTTTCGCTGCAGACGACCGCTGATGACGAGCCGGTCGGTGGGGACTCGTATAGCTGCGCTCGGCCAAGTCTAGTCAGCTAGGGAACGCGACGAGCGAGGGCAGAGTGCGTTTTCGCGGGGGAGGTGAGTAGCAGTGGCCTAGGATTAGGCGAGGATCTAGCCCTGCATTCGGGACGTCTTTGGTTGACCAAGTCATCGGGAACGATCGTTGCCTAATCTTTAGCAGGAACGAGAAGTGTAACACTGCTCGAGGTAGCCCATAAATTTATACGGGAAATTTGCTGAGAACGTCTTCTGTTCAACAAGGTCGTGCATGATGAAGGCGACGAAGCAAATCGAGATAACACTTACGATGGCATTACCTCACCTCATATATACCTTCAGCACTTAGCTATGAGTAGTTGAACCCGACGAGAATCGGTTAGTAAGCCATTTCACTCCTTAGAGAATTAGAAGGCAGCTATATCGAAAACGTTTCCACGACGCACCAGCATTAATAAAAAGTGCGTCTAAATAATCATAATTCTTACGTTGCTGATAATGTAAATCGAAATTACTAGGTAATTTATAAGAAAAGCTAGTACGCTATCGCTTCGCTGATCGAGAGCGCCATTAATCTATACAAAAAAGCCCTCAGGCAGCCAACGCCGGCCGAGCTAAGGACGGCTATGAGCTCAGTCCTCCAGACCGCGAACGATATTAAGAAGGACACCAGCGCCGTCAAGCGCGCCACTGACACGATTAATATGGTAGCCCCTCTTACCTAGCAGAACACGCACCACAGCCCCATGGCCTGGGCGCGAGTAGCAGCGCTACGAACAGCAACAGCAACAGCGCAGACGCAACCCAGCCCGCAAAGCCCGAACGAGAAATTTTTTGAAATGGTGATCAATCTTACGGACCCGCAGATGATAGCCACCTCCGCCCACAGCCTCCGACCCGCCTTAAATAACGCACTAATCGTGTTCTGAAATCGCAGACGGACCCCGAGTGGGGATATTGTGGCATATAAAGAAGCTAGCGGGAGAATGAGGTGGTGTAAAAGAACGCCTACAGTCGACAAACTGGATGTTAATAGCGTCGGCAGCACGACTGATTAAGGGAGCGCGGACGACCAAGACCACTGCATGCCATACTCGAAGATACCGTGCCTCAAAGTGAACGGTACGAAGAGGTCGATAACCTAAATAGAGTAAGCCAGTAGCTCTAGGAGGAGACGCTGGCCATGTCGGGCAAGCGAGTCGCGAGTGTTGAGTAGTTCAAACGCATGACCACCCACCAATTACATCATAATGTTCGATGACCAAAAGCGTTACTTAACGGTGATGGAGCGTGCAGAACACCTTTATCGTAATACCTTATTCTCTACATCCTTTGTTGTGGATGATACTTTGTAGTGCTATGGTACTTTCGCTGCAGATGATATGCCTGGCCATTGATGCTCTTGGTAGATCAGAGTACCTGCAGCTCTCGACATCAGCGCTCGAAAAGAACACAAAGCTTTGTCCCTTTCCTTTTCAAGTGGCTGGCAGCACCGGGCAGAGTCGGAACTGGCCGGAACATTTGTGGAGCGCTAACCACAACTCCATAGAACGTCATGCCTCCCGCCTGTGCCTTGCGTCCAGCTCTCCCCTCATCGACCATCTTCTTTCAAACTTCTTCCCATCTCGCATAACGATCGACACCGGACTGCTTCCCAGTTCCACCTTGCCCCATGAGCCCCCGATTCTACCATTTCCGCATCTCCATCGGACATTGCCTTCGCCGTGAGGCCGAACTTCGACCGCTGATGATTAGGTTAGCGGGCTAAGGCTACCGCTCTGCGCTGCCCCGTCGTACCTTGCTACCTTCTGGACAGCCTCGGAATGTCAAGTTGCTAGGTTTCGACAGCTGCACGCGCACCTCTCCCGTCGTGGTCATGCTCAAACTTGGCCTTCGCCTTGCCCCAGCAGAGACTGACCCTTCGAACGTGGTGGTATCTGCATGTAACAACGCACACCACGGCCAAGCCAAACATCAATAGCGCTGCTCCAGTACGAGAAACCGGACGAGCAGAATTTCTGCATCGGGCCAAAAGGACCGTGAGAGAGTTTTCCACCGAAAAGTCCATCCACACGACGACGTTGCTTCCAATTCCTCGGATCAGGCAGCCGCACTGATAGAGATGACGGCATTCTAGAAGCTGGAGGAAATTTGTAGATGCTATACAAATATGCATTCCTTTAGAATTCTGCTGCAACTGTCTGCCGTCGTTTGTATGAAGTTTCTTTGTTTCTCCGCTCTCAGGTCCTCCGCGTTATGACCACGCAAACGCAATAACGCCATTCTCAAATCAACTTGGAGGTGTTTTCATCCATGATTAATAAGTGCCAAGATGATGTCCGTCCTGCTGGCCCAGCGCTGCGAGCACCGCAGGTCTGTGGTGGCCAGCGCGATTAAGATCAGCAGGCACAACGGTGGTTTAGGCTTGCGGATGGGCACCACTGCTGGGCAGGGTGACAGGAGGCAATTTGCAGGCCGTTTGAATCGCGCTTGATGTTTCTCGGTTACTGAGACCGGAGGGCTATTTTTAGACGACGTCCTTCTAAGAGACAGAGCAAAGAGAAACATTTAGAACGAGCAGCCCGTGCGAAATGCTGCTTTGGCTAGCAATTACTTAGTCCGTTTGCCTGACCTACTCCTTTGCTACCAAGACGGCAATCCTAATTGTTTCTCGATCAGGTTTAACTTGACCTCTCCCAACAACGCCGGCGCACTAACGACACCCGACGTTGAGAACCGCCGATACCACTGGAGAGACTAGTTTAGGCAAGCAGGCCCTAGTTGATTCTAGAAGGACAAACCGTCAACTGATTGTACAAACCATGGAGTTTGGGCGTTTGCTATTGCTTACCCTTAGTACTGGCCGACTATAAATCGGCCGCCTCTCTACGTAGATTTCACAGATTAACGAATTCAGTTACTCTCTACGGAGGACCTTTCTATTCAGAGGCATCTACCGCGACGGCCCCCAGTGCCGCAAGACCATCAACGAACAGACCTAGAAGGTCCACCACGTGCGCTTCTACCTCATGCACACCTCGCAAGCCCCCGAGGACGCCGCCACCCGGCAGCTGCGCGCCGAAAACCAGCAGCTCCGTGCCGCGCTGGACCAGGCCAACGACAAGAACCAGGACCTCGAGCGCAGGAAAAGGGAGAAGGTGGACGAGTGCCGCAAGGTGATGGTGGAGATGCAGGACGAAGTTGGCCGGGCACACAGCGCCATGATCGAGACCCTGGAGGTCATAAGAAAGCATCTGCAACAAGCCAAGGCTGGGGGACCCCGCCTCAGAGGCAAGCTCGAGACCGTCCAGGACACCAACGAGGCAAAGCTGAGGCAAGCCGCTGCCGACAACAAGACGCTGACTGCCATGGTCAAAACCGCCCAGGACAGCAACAAGGCCCTGGAGGCAAAGCTGAGTCAAGCCCGAGCCGACAATGAGGCGCTTGCTAGCAGGCTTGAGGCTTCTCAAAGAAGCAACGACGCCCTAGAGGCAAGACTGAGGCAGGCCGGTGCCGACAACGGCCGTCTTGACGCTCGGCTTGGCGAGACCGAGGCCGAGCTGGCCGATACTCGCGAGCGCAATGCGACACTCACCGTAGAGCTCAAGGACAGCCAGGACGACGCCGAGGCTCTGGAGGCTGAGGTGAACCGCCTGACCGTTCGGCTAAGCGATGCCCAAGACGAGCTGAGGAACAGTCGCCGGACGGCAATAACGGCCGGGTTCCAGGACAGTGCAGCCGACGGCCTGGAGGCTGAATTCAGCCGAATTGCCATGTAGCTGCGCGGAGACAGACGGGCGTTGACTTGCGGGACCCAGATAGATCTAGCAATTCATTCTCAATATTGCGTTATTCTGATGAACAAGTGACAGAGGCGGAATAACAATGCTAACATTACCGAGACAGCCGTGACCGCCATCGTTTTATACCGCATCATGTTTCAGGGGCGTAATTCCTACTGGCCCCTCGCCTTCCGATGCCTCATACTTTGATGCTTCCGACTCACTGTTCCCAGATCGAGGCTCGTTCAACGGCACGGATTCCAGACGTCATCTCGATATGCGGTTTCAAAGACAGTGCTTAGATTCTATAAATGTTGTCAGGGTCGACGACTAAGAAAAGGGCAGCTTTGTCTCCACTCGAGACCGAACTGCGTCAAGCCTTACCCTCGGAGGGCATGCGGGAGTAGTATTGCGTGTAAGCCACGGCCCAGACCATCGGTAAGCCGGTAACCGCAGCGCACGTCAGCGGGCGCAGCACAAGCTAAGTGGTGCCCGCTTTAGGGGGGCGGGTATCTATATAAACAACATAGGAACAACTGCTTACTTGCCAACAGGTCTTAACATTCGCCGGTTTCCCGGCCTGCGGAAACAACTTATTCTACTTTCGACTGCCAGCCGCGCGCCAGCAAACCGACGACGGGGCGTCGATCGAGCGGGGTGATGTATTGTGTTTGAGCCTTGCATCACTTCCCTCGACTTGAGAAATATGACTAGTCAATTTACAGCTGTGGAACAGCTGTGAACCGCACGACAGCTATTCTCAAGCTCGGTATCTAAAAGCGCCGCTCTGGCACTCCGTTTTCTGGTGTGGTTCACGCAGGATCAGGATCGTGGCCGTGCCAGCTCGGGACGTTGTGTCTCTAAACAATGTCGGTCCCCCTCCCCCTCGGTGTGCGATGATTTGCCCGGGAGTGGTTCGTCCAAGCCAGCCCCGCAAGCAACAGCCACCGCTTTCAGTATAACAGTGTTTCCTTATTGACTTCTGCGACTTGTAATCGGCTATTCTCTGCTACGGACGCGCATATCGATGGCGTTAGGAATATGTGAGTGGACGAAAGAATTCTGTATACGCCATAAAAAGATATGTTTTCCGCGGAGGTTCGGTGCAAAAGAAAGAACACCCGCCGTAAAGGCCTAATCTTGTCAGAGAGAAAGCGAACGCGACTAAACCAAATTACTAGAAGGCTCTAAAAGGCATTTGATAGTCGCTGTTGAACCATTATCTTGACCATTCTTCCAACCAAAAGAAAAAAAGAGCAAATCCCCGCTTGCTCAAACCGCAGTTGCAACTAGTCTTTTACTTGCAGCCATCGAACGACGTAACTCCCTAATCCTCCTCAGCATCTTTTCCCCTGCCCATAGCCTCAAGAAGTTGCCCCCTCAGTTCGTTGCACTCCCTCTCAACGCGTCTAACCCGCGCCGTATCGCGTAGCACCGAGTTGACCAAATCCATCGCTTCACGGTAAGAACCAATATCACACAGGTAGGTAATCCTCGATATTTGATAGCGGAGGACTTGGACGCAGTCCGAAACAGCCGTCGCGGCGTTGGGAGAAGCTTGGACGAGAGCGCTGTACAGCTCCGACGCAGGAGGTCGGCCGGTGCTGCACGATCCGCTCTCGAGCTTCTGCTCGAGCTGGGCCGGGGCATCGTACGACTTCATCTCGAGCGCGTGCGTCAACTGGATTAAGGAGAGCAGCACGCTGATGCCGCCGTCGCTTTCCAACGACTCGGGCCGCGGGGCCGGCGGCGGCGGCGGCGGCGGCGGTGGCCACACACCGCACTCTTTGGCACAGCCCAGCAGGACGTCGATGGTGCCGACCAGCTCGCCGTGGCCCAGCAAAGCAGTCTCCAGCGCCATGGCGAGGTCCGGGGTGGCCGGGCTGGTGGCGGCGACGATTGCGTCCAGGAAGTCGCGGCCTGGCGATGGGACGCGCCGCAGCAGTTCTGCCAGGCTGTCCTTGTCGCGCGCGTCGGAGACGTCCATCGAGCTCAGAAACAACCGGGCTTCCCGGTCGGCCTGGGTGGAGTTAGTACGAATGAGAAAGGGGGGAGTGTGTGTGTGTGGACACATTACCTCGATGGCGTCGGCCTCGGCGAACGGCTCGAACAGCTCAGCAAGGCTCTCACGATCCCTCCTGACGTAGACCTGCCACTGGTCATCGTACATGTCTTCCTTGAAGTGCGCGTGCCTGAAGTCGACGAGACGCGCCACGCCGCGCGAGGTGACGATAGCGTTGTCGCCGAAGCCGTCAAGACAGCCGGCCCCGTGGCAGACGCCGGCATCCTCGTGTAGGATGCTTAGAGCGCGCTCCAGATGAGTCCGGATCGCGTAGCGCTCGTCGTGTGATAGCTTCCCGATGACGTCGCCAAGGCGAGGTCCTTTGAGGAATTCGAGACGAAGAGCCCGGCGGAAACCGCCGCAGTTGGCCTGCAACAGATCTCTGATGTCGCTCACGACGCCGTAGAAGCCGCACACGTAGTCTTGTAGTAGGGGGACGGCGCTGATCGCTTTGTATGCTCGAAGCTCGGTGCGAAAGGCCTCTGCAGTCACACCCATCTGCATGTTTCCATCAGCAGAGCGGCCGCCCTCGTGCCTGGCCGACTTACCTTGAGGGCACATGCCTTGCCGTCGTACAGCGTCCCGTAGATGATTCTTGTGCCACTGCGGAGGGACGAAGTGGCAGCCCTTCGCTTGAGGACTGATGGGGCAACGGACACGGTCGAGGAAGGAGGAGGTGATGACATGGTGGAGGAAGTGGTGAGGATCAACAGCGACTTGTCGGCTTTCTAGCTGCTCTTTTATGCCATCCGTGTCTTTCTTCGACAACAGCGAAGGAAGCAAACGGTCGGAACGCGAGAGTATTCTAGAAGGTGCCTGTAGTGTACATCCTCACTCCCCAGGAGCTAATCATTACGCGGGAGAAGATTAAGAAGCGCCATATACCTGCCCACAACCGAGCCACTAGCCGCTAAAAATAGTCAACCGAAGGCGCGACGTCAAACTCTTTGCTAAGCTTTTCATGTCTCTTTGTATCTCTTCGTTTCCGCGAACCTATTGCAGGCCTGTCGCTCCACAACTCGCGTGTCCACCACTCGACTTCGCTCGCGCCATCTGCCATCCATACTCCATCTGCGTTGGCCCAACGTCACGCGATACACCGGAGTCGCCGTCAGCGCGATGCGTTCCATCGTCGTTCTCTCGCAATGCAATTTCGCAGAACTCATAAGAAGGTACAAAGAGGTTGCAAGAAAATTCGTCCAAGTGGAACTGCATGTCGCGCGGCCATGTCGGAGTGGGTACGTGCATGGGAAGTTCTCATCGCGGTGTAAGGAGGTCTTCACTGGTGTTGACGCTGTGGCCTTGGTCGAATGGATCGTGGGTATCCTGACCTTCTTTGTCCTACCCGGCTTTGTTTCAACGACGCATGCGGATATTACGGATAAAGGCAGTTTCCTGCATTGTTTGAAAAACCAATCGACTTATACCGGAACAATGTTTGCTTTCGCTTGGTCCGTCTGTTAGAGAGTATCTCTTCACCATGGATCCTGTCCAGGTTGCTACACCAGGCGTTAGACGTACGAGACATGGGACAAGCTTTCGACCGCCCGACAGGCTGAGTTCCGCCTCCCAGAGTCCAGCAGTCTCCATCACCCACACCAGCCGCCGTTCATCGACGGATTCTTCTGACCTGGTTGAATTATCGAGCTCCGGTACCCACCATGCTGCAGCCGCCACCACCAGTACTATCGTCCGGCGTGTGGTGCTCGTACTTATCGCGTGGTTTCTCGTCTCTCTCGTTACAGAGCTACGCGATCCACGCGGAAGGCTGTTCTGGATGTGTGCATCACATCCCCCCACTAAGACCGCTGCTTCGTCGGGCGTCTGGACCACTATCGTCACCAACAATACAGCCACTACCGTTTGTAACACTGCAGTTACTACCGTCACGGCCACCGCTACCGTCGAGACCACCACTACCGCCACAGCCACTACTACCGTAATGACCAACCCCACCATTACCGATACTACATCCACTACTGTCACGGCCACTACTACCGTTCACACCACCACCACCCTCATACCCGCCACGAACGGCGAGCTAATGGAGTGCCCGAACCGACCCGCCGACTTCGATTGGCTTTACATCGCAACGGATCCGCTACGCGCGTTTAACGCCACGCCCCCGTCGGAGACGCCGCCCTCGGAGCAGGAGCATGATAAATGCAAACGGGAGGTTGAAGCCTCCGTCTGGCGATTTGCGAAGTTCTGGGACCCGAAGAACGTTGCATTCCATCCACTCCACCTAACTGAGGATCAGCTGGGTGTGATCTTCGTACAAGTCGGTCGGGGGCTACAAGATGCATATTCCCTTTGTAGGGGTGACAATAAAATATCACATACATCTCATGGCCTAGCTTTACTGTCGAGTATTCAAAGAGCCCAGGTCGAGTCGTATTACAACGCAGCGAACGACGACCCTTCCTTGTATAAGCTTTTCGGGCTACCATGGAGTAAAGACTCTATATGGAAGGACTACGACAATAACCCGAGCTCTATGTGGTGGATTTGGAAAGACAAACAAATGCGACTAAGACGGGAGCATGGACCGAGTCAACGCGAAAAGCGTTTTTGGAAATTGTGGAAGGATTTCTACAACGTCGACGCCGAAGAACAACCAAGAGGCTGGTATTCTGGCTACTGGTATCAAGATGGGTTGTACTGGCGGGATGTGCGCCTCAGAGAAGCATTTCCATGGGGCTGGGCTCCAGAATGGAAATTGTCGCCTGAACCTGAACTTGAACCTGAACCGGTGAACAAATCCTTCTCGGGGTTGGTGAAGGCTTTAGTTTGTGAGTATTATTGATTTCAGCCCGGCTTGCTGCAACCTCAGCTCGACGCCGCTTGACCCGGCTGGGGGCAATCCTCACCACCACGACTCCCAAATCATCGTCGTTTTCCCCCATCACTACTACCGTCACAACCACTTTCGGCCGCGTCCTGAACCGAGTTATCGTCCTCGTTGGCTCCGTTGCCATCAGTATGCTGCTGCTCCTCGCCGCCGCCGCCGCCACGGAGAGCAGGAGTAGACCAGGAAGCTGGAAGAGCGAACGGCGGATCCAAGTAGACTAGAGGCGGTGTCGGTCAAATGGAGTGAGTGAGAAACAGCTCGTATCGTCGAGTACCACCGGTAAGAAGACGATTTTCACTCCCTACGATCCTTTCTACCCGTCGTCCCTAACTGTAATAAGTCTAGAACAACAGCCGCTCACTAACCAGAAGCAGCAGATACTACTGCCAGCGGATCGAGAAACGTAGCGATGATAGCAACAAGCTTAACCTGCTATTATAGCTCACATTAGCAGTAGTTCGTGCAAAGAATAAGAGGCAATTTTAATAGCTACATAGTACTATTTTATTTCCTAGCTTGCATTAGCCTTCTATTGTCTAACCTTCCCCTTTAAGTCGATTATGTCCTTAAAGTCGGTTTTGTTTTATTTAAAAATCTATCCTAAGCGGTGCGTTATAATAACGTAAGATAATTACTACTACGGTAGAGAGCGGGCGAGGTTATAGAGGACCTATATCATTATCTTCTACTACCACCTCCCCTTTCGGTACGACTCGCTCCATTCCTACTATATATTCCAGTCCTCGTCGCCTTCCTTCCACACTTCAGTCAGACGCTTAATCTCGTCATCGCTAGGCTCAGTGCCAAGGATGCGTTTACACAGCTGCTCGTCGAGAATGCTTGCGTACAGCCGTAAGGGTCTCTATATCCTCTCAGATCATCTCTTCCATCTCCAAGGTGCTTTCGGCGTCGGGATCGGGGACGAGCCGCGGGCCCACCCATTGGAGTATGGGCAGCACGAACTCTGGTCGCGGTACCCTCCAGCGTTGGACGGCCTGACGCACCACCTCTGCGGAATCGAGTCCGCACACGGCCCTGCGCACGCCCGTCAAGAACTCGGCCAGCGTGTGAAGCAAGGATGTCGCGCCTCCGGCGATCCCAGCAAGTCCGACCCCCATCCCAATGCCAAGTCCAGTCGCAAATTTAAGTCCCTGAATGCGCATGGTGTCGGTAGTGTTTTTTTATTTTCTTCGCACGTATGGGTTCCTGGCTTATTCGATGTGACGAGAAATCGAGATTATGCTGGCTCTCAGCTGTGTGGCCAGTTTCGGTCACCGGAAAGAAGGAGCCTATCACTCCTGCAATCCTTTTCGCCCGTCCCCAGTTAGAAGCTCCGCAGGTGCGTTGATATGAAGATCGAAAGCGTTTAGCTCTTCCTTGGCTGCATTAATACGTTGAGTACAAGGTGTAGCAGATATTTTTGCGACTAATAGATGTTATTCTAGGGCATCTACTATTAAGCGGAAGAAACACATCTCGATACGACGAGTAGCGCTCCGACAAGAAACCGGTAATTTGTTTCTAAATACTAGATGTAAAACTTTCTGTTAAAGAAAAACGTCGAAAATTAGTCGGGTATAAATATTATTACAACGTTGAATTACGCGAGTCTTCTTTTAATCGACGCTGGTACTAAAGGTTAAGAATGAAATCCCAGTTAATAAGCCCGTTCCAGAATGGCTGGGGTAGAACAAAACTGTTGATCCGCGATTTCAGCGGTGACGCGTCAATCCGGAACTAGGATGGCAGCCCTGGTAACCCGTAACCCTTATACGCGAGTAGGTCAAAGAAACCTATATTTGTAACGATTCTGATAGCAGAATTGGTTAATACTTTCGTTACATCTAGCTTGTTGTCGGCAGTCAAGGCGCTCTCTGGAATCTTTAGTCTAAGAAGGCTATAAGCCTTATTGTAAGGGCTGCTGGAGACCTAAGTTGAGAATGTAACTAGATGCGAATGAAAATTAATACTTGTTTATTATTTCCGTAGAGCTGACACTAGCGGCGGTAGACATCTCTAGGCCCGCCAGGTTACCGGCGATGGGCTTTTTCTTCTTCTCTTGGGTAGTACTGTTGCCTTCGTGGTGAGGTGGTAAGAGAAAGCGGGTCCACCTAGTGTACGTAAGCGCTGAACTTTCTCGCCACCAAAGAGAACTTATTAATGCAGTCTATAGAGTTCGACAGGCTCTATATCAACTAGATTTTTGCTATTTTTGGCGATTATAGCTGAACTTTACTCCTCCGCCCTTCGCGTAATTGGAATGACCTTATCTTTTACCTGCTTTGGCCACGCGCCCGACCTCGTCCAGCTTGCCGTGGAAGACGATATGGCGCAGCTACTCGAGTGGAAATTATGAGAAACGGTCGTGGGTGAGAGCAAAATTTCCCCTTGTTCCGTTTTCCCGCCGGTACGCTTCAGCTAACTTTGGATTAACACACCTCCCCGCTAAAAAAAAAAAACTAAACTTAAACTACTAGCTTCTCGCACGCGCTGAAACTTCTCTTCCAAAATAATTCTTCTACCCCTTCGGATATAAATTGCATGCTATGCGAACCCCGACCTCCACCCGTGTCCTTCCACGGTGACCTTTCCTCCTCCCGCGCCTGGCAGCTGGTTGCGAGTCGAAAGAATGATTCCCTCCGCTAGGTCGCTTGATTGCTTGTAGAAGAAGTAGAAGATTGCCACCCTTTCACAAACTTCATCACTGTGCCAAAAGGTCGATGCTGTTCGAGGTTGAGGCCAACATAAGTCAGCTCAAATGGAAGCATTTCAACGAAGCACACCGCGGCCGCTCCACGAGCTGGAATTTACCGACGAAGCAAGCAGAGGTTCTTAGGGCACTCTTCCGTTCCTTTATCGGATCCGAATGCCGTCTAACGGCGTTATTTCAATCGGCGGGGCCCTACGTAGTACTTTGCTTACTTACTATAGAGCCGCTCGCGCCGCAGATCATTCCATGTTACTATTTCCCGCATGTGTTGAGGCTAAACCTGATTGACAGGTTAGTGTTCGCGTATAATAATACATCACTCGTTTCTCATGTAGGCGAACGGAACAAGATACTTCCGGGGACCATTGTCGAATTATTTTCCACGCCTACTTGCCATCCGTGCTAGCCCCAACCGCCCACAAATCCCGCGGCCTAAAATTTGTTGACTTGGCCTTGCCAGCAGCTGACTGATGTTGAAGCATAATTGTTCTCGAACCCATGCGTGTAAGCTGCAATGTTAGAGTTATTCGCAGCGCTGTAATTTCTAGCGGCTATACGTGAGAGCTGCGACCCTACATACCGACCGAGTTTAGAGTTCTGTCGGTTATCGTTGTCGAGAAAGAGGACGTGGTCGTCGAACGAGCTGTATATACTACATAAACTACAAATAATGCTTTGATTATCGTAATGCTCGCGACACGTATGGGTCCTCTCGTTGTAAACATATGTAGCCAATAGAGCATTGGCTTTGAGGCTTAGCTCAGCCACTCCCTGGTCCTGGAATTCCACATCAGCTAGTAAAGTTTATTTGGCTTGGCTTGGACTTCTAGACTACAGCGCATTAAAAAGTGCGGCAAGAACTTTTGTTTGTCTACGCCGAGGCCGCAAATCTGACTCTCCCGCCGCAGCTTAACCGCGGCATCGCCACCGCCATCGTTAAAACCGAGCTCAGACGCATCGCATTAACACGGACAACGCGAGAGGCGGAATCCAGGCCACGATCGAATACGTCGTCACGGCAGGTGATTTGACGCACAGGCGCAAGTAGTCATGGCGGTCGCGAGACGGGCGCAAGACAGGTGAGACAAGTATCGCCGCAGATCAAAGGGGGAGCTTGTGCGGAACTAAGCCTCCCAAAGTCTTTTGAGCACGATGCGCCGTGTTTGCCTTCAACTGAGACCCGGTATAAACGGTAGCGAAGGTGCGAAACAACAATATTCTTTATTTGTTCTTACTTAAAGTCGTCTCCCTTTCGACTTCTTCAGTAGTTCGATCATCCACTTTATTTTTCCAGACACACCTCGCTACCGACCAATATCCCTCGTCACTCGCCCTGCCGCTCCTCTTACCATCTCCACCGATTCCATGGCTTCTACCGCTTCTCCCACCGCTCCTCCTACCGCTTCTCCCACCGCTCCTCCTACAGCCTCAAACTCTACCGACTCTATGATTTCCACCGCTTCTTCTACCGCTTCTACCGGTTTTACCGCTTCTACCGCTCGCCTTACCGTTCCTCTTCTCGCACGTCCTGCCGCTCGTCTGGCCTCTCGAGCCCGCCGCATCAGATCTTCTGCTCCGACGAATCTATGGGAGCTGACGATCCTCGTGGCGGCGGTCGTCCTCGGCGTCGCCATTCTGTTAGACGTGGTGGCGATCCTGGCGAACTTCGGCAGGAATCTGCGGCCAATGTCGATCCCAATGGACCGCCAATACGACTACAATGCCCTACTGGACAAGACTTTGCGAGATGCCGCGGAAGTGGTGGATTCGTACCTCCGGCCGCCGCCCGAGCCCGTCGAGGCGACAAGGACGGAACAGTGGCGGGCGCTTTTGGAGATCACTCTTCACCGTGTAGACAACGGCTACCTCACCCGTTGGGCAGTCTACGATACGGACAACCAGACGGTAACTAACTGCTACAAGAAGCTGCACAACTTCCAGACAGAAGGGCTACCTATCTGTGATAGACAGCTAAGACACTTGGCGGATGAAATATCAGCATGCATAAGTGTATCAAATTACGACAATGAGGAGGCCGTCACGTATATGGCGCGGGAAGTTACTATAGTCGTGGACGAGATCATTATACGCTAGGTTGCTTGGCTGTCGTTTAGCCTAGTTAACTACGTATACTGCTCGATTTTCTACCCTCCCGATGTCTATCCCCTGACCGACCGCGACCGCAACCTGTAGGACACGCTATGAATCTATCAGGCCCGGCTTATTGAGCTCCACAAGTTCCTAGAAGAGACGTGTAATACTATCGAGACCGTCTACAACTATGTTACCTCTCCCTTTATCTCCGTCAGCAATTTCAGGTACCACGAGGTCTAAGTACGCAGGAACACATTGAATCCCTTAGAAACCTCACCACCCGGTTCACCTACCAGATGGCCAACCTTGACATGATCGCTGGGAGGAACCACGGCAATATTTGCGAGTCGCTCGAGATGGATAGCTTCAAAGAGTCACGCTGGGCTCCCCAGGAACTACTTACCGTCCTACGGCAGAATGTCGCCGCTTTCGTTGCGGGTGTGCGCCGCTGGGATGCTGATGACTTCTACAATAGGGTACGATTAGCGCAGAAGAAGATGCAGAATAGAGAAGGAGAAGAGAGTTAGGGAGAGAGCGAGTCTCTATGATCTCAGAAAGTAACGCGTGTTGGGAAATTGGTCAGATCTGCCTGTATGTTAGACGTGAAATCCGCATCATCTTCCATTCACCTCTGAAATCAAGTTGAAAGAGAACAATGACAGCGAATATCATGAGTGAAGATTGCTGACAGTGAGCAACGCGCCTTCCAAGCCAGCTCACCCACTCCACACTGATTTTGCCGCCCTCGTCCATCGCACACCCTGCCACACTAGCAAACCGCATAACGCTCTGCCCAAGATGCCTTATTTGACGGCGATGATGGCTCATGCGTTGATTTCAGCTTCGCGGCACGGGTACACAGCGTACAGCATCTTTGTCCGCGCCGCCTCGCTTCAACTGGTCCAGAGCGCAGTCACCTCCCCACGAACCGGATCGCCATGTTTTATAGAAGTTTGTTTTACTCGCTGTTGATCACAACGCTTGGCGGTAGCAGATTGGCGTGTGCGGGGCATTGATCGTCGCGTTCACCACGGCTGGTTGCAACTTCGCGCATTTATCTATCATGCTTGACAACAGTTAGAAGAGAGCCTGGTCATCTCCAATGTTACGGTCGGAGTTCTCTCTTCCAAACCGACCAACCGTCAAAGTGGCGAAATGTTGAATTCTTGAGCATATTGGAGCGGGATGCGGCACGTGCCTGTTTGCTTCGCCAGGGTACATGCATATCCGTGCCCTCAGTTCGTTTGAACTCGTCGCTCCCCACTTCCAATCCTCACCACGAGGACCGCCCCTTCATCTACACCTTCGAACCATGGCATCTCGGCAGTACCTCCACTGCCAGGGATTCACCGGCTCCGGCAAGCCGTGTGCCAGTCGCATTAGCTACTACCGATGGAGAAAGGGGACCCGCTATTGCTACTACCACATAGATCAACAGCACTCGCAAATCATTTCAGACCACAGCACTCATTGGGAAGAATCCTGCGACGACCAAGACAGCCACGATCATGGTTGTGAGACTCTCGACGTCCACCATTACATACAATTCGACGGAAGAAATGCTCCTCGTGGCAAGCACAGCACCTCAACGCAAGCCAGGTCTTCGAACGTGCGCAGCACATCAACGCTAGCTAGTTCTCCAACGACGGACAGCACATCTACTCAACCGAACCGTGGCACAGCTGCTCTAACGACGGAAGGCACAGCTGCTCCAACGATGGACAGCACATCTACTCAGACAAACCATGGCACAGCTCCTCCAACGACGGACAGCACCTCACCGCTAGCTACTTCTCCGACGATGGTGTTGGCAGGAACGATCGCCAAGGGGGTATTTCGCGCCTTCTTTTGGGTAGCTCAATACATCACCCGTTCAGCTCCTCAGCTTCTCGCATCAGCCTCTCGCATAACGGGCAGCATCTTACTGCTAGCTAGTTCTTCGACGATGGTGTTGGCAGGAACGATCGCCAAGGGGGTATTTCGCGCATTCTTTTGGGTAGCTCAATACATCACCCGTTCAGCTCCTCGGCTTCTCGCATCAGCCTCGCGCACAACGGACAGCACATCTACCCAGAAGGTTCTTGACACGGACCTTCCAACGACGAAAAGCAGATCTACTCAGACGGACCTTGACACGGACCCTCCGACTGGCCATGTTCCTTCTCTTCTGGCTAGCCACAGGCAGTACGGTGCCCATATCGCTTCTTCTACATCTTTCAGCGCCACAGATAGAAGACCCACTTCCGACAAAAACTTCTGCGACCTTGCCAAAGCCTACATAGAGCTTGCCAACATTGCCAAAGAATACTTAGAGCCTGCCAAACTTACCAAAGACCACTTTGAGCTTGTCAAAGACGACATCCCGGCAACGACAAGCCGAAGAGACTTGACGCAACAGCTTATTAAAGACGAAGTCACGGCCACGACAAGTCGAAGAAATTGGCTACAAAAGCTTGTCAAAGACGACGTTCCGGCCACGACAAGCCGAAGAGACTCGACGCAACAGCTCGACTCGATTCGGCGGCCGCCATCTCCCAGCTTTCAGGCTTGGCTGCCGAGAGACATCGGACGACAAGACGTGATAAAGCCATCTCAAAAATCACAGATGCCCGGCAGTTTCCCCCAAGACGCACCATCTTCCCGGGAGTTGTTGACAGATGGCGGCGGCTCTCCTCCCACGACGACGCTTTCCGCCCTCGGTGCCTTGCGCTCCAAGCTTGATCAGGAGACCCTGATTAAGGCGGAATCGAGAGATGAGCCGACTGATGACGAAGACGGTGCGGACTACGGGTCAGTGGTCTCCGAGAAGCCAGAGGAGAGTGAGGAGGACGTGGTTGCAACCAAACAGCACACGCCTGCTCGAAAAAGATGCGCGGCTTTGATCCAGAACGGCAAGCGGCGCTGCAAAAATCGAGCCAGCGAAGGGAAAACTCGCTGCCCGCAGCATTTGAAGATACAAAACAAGCGCGTCGCGGAGAATGTGGACAAGTGGTTTAAGAAAGAAAATGCCAAGCCAGTTGCATCGCATCCCCCAACGGAGCCTGAGACGACCCAGATGCACTCGAATCTGCCGCTCGCTGGCCCACTGTCACGGACCGCTCGGCCCGACCAGCACGACTATGACGACCATGGTGCCAACAAGGCCGGTTCGTCGACGGTAAGAGGACAGGGAAGAAAGGGAGGATCGGCCTTAGCGTCCTTGGATGATGATGATGGTGATTCGGGAACTGTGGCTGCGTCTGGTCGTCCTAGCCATGAGGAAGCGCAGATGACGGTGGCGGAGCCAAACATTGCAAACAAACGCGCGGTGGCGGAGCAGCGCTGGGCAAACGTTGAAAAGGAAGGCAAGGAGGCGTTGGGTGGCGTCTAGCTGAAGCGGCTACGTTGCAATTACTGTTCATCTAGAAGCTTCTGTATCTTAGAGGTCTTAGACCGATATGCCCACACACGTGCACAGGTGTGCAAACGAAGAAATGAGAATGACGTTTTACACAACCGTCTAGAACACGTCTAAGACATCTGTATGCAGAATGACGTCAAGAACTAATTAAAGAAATGACCAAGCCTTAGCAAACTTTCTTCTTTGTTTGTTCTTTGTTTATATTACATTCGCTTCGCCTTTCCCACCTTTTCCACCACACGCATTCGCTCCGCCGTTTCCACCTTTTCCACCACACGCATTCGCTCCGCCGTTTCCATCTTTTCCACCACACGCATCCGCTCCGCCATTTCCACCTCTTCCACTACACGCATCCACTCCGCCGTTTCCACCTTTTCCACCACACGCAGACATGACCGAACAGATCCTCGGACGACACACGCCGCGCAGGCGCGCTTCCATCAGAGCATTGCTAGACCAAGTCCCCGAGAACGGCCTAGAGTCCGTCATCGATGCGTTGGCCAGGGTTGGTCCAGAAAGGCACCGATCGCTACTAGAGCACGTCCTTCGAGATGAGAATTCCCCACCACCTTCTCCCACTCGTCCTCCGTCCCCTCCTCCTCCCGCTCGTCCTCCGTCCCCTCCTCCTCCTCCCGCTCATCATCCGTACCTTCCTCTTCCCACTCATTATCCGTACCTTCCTCCTCCCTCCATGCCACAGCCACGAGCAATGCCATCGCTTCTGGTGATATCATTCGTCGGCTTGGTCTTGGCAGGCTGGGTGGCGATGACGGAGATGACGGAGATGACGGGCTTGGCGGCGATGACGGGTTGGGCGGCGATGACGGGCTGGGCGGCGATGAAAGGCTGGGCGATGGAGGAGATCAACAAGCTGCTGCCACTGCCGCCACTGCCGCCGAATCCACCAGCCTACAGCTACGGCGCGATGCGGAATGAGACGATACGGCGGGGCGCAGAGGCGATGGAGGCGGCAATGGCGCCGATTGAGGGCCGGTTGGAGCTGACCATGCTGTCCAACATGGGGGTGCGGTTGCAGGCTGGCCTAGCTGCCGTGTCCCATGACTACCTCGGCCTGTGGGCCGTCTTCAACACGAAAAACCGGACGGTGATCGACAATTACAAGCAGCTAGAAGCAATCGGCAGCTACGCGACGACGCACCTGCAGAGCGGGCTGGAGGACATGGAGTTCGAATTACAGAAGGCCATCGTGGGGTCGTCCGAACGGGTCAACCTCACGGCCATACGGGTGTCACAGCTGCTCGAGATGGCGGACGACGACATCGTCGGGATCTGGGGACCCCGGCAGCGGCGTTTGAGCCCATTGGCCATCTTCCTCCGCCGTCTGCACATCCTGCCGGACGACGACCACGACATCACGCCTGACCCTCGGCTGATACGCGACCGCACCCTGTGGGAAACAGTATGCAGCTGCCAGGCCTTTATTCTAAGCATAAACGACTACCTGCTGCAGGAGTCGCTCGGGGTGAAGCAGATGATTGCGACTACCGAGAAGGACTTCATGCCGATTAAGATATTCATGACAAATGAAGTGAAGATGCGCATGCGCGAAGCCAAAGCAAAAGTAAACGACATCGAAGAGCGCTACAACAAATCGATGGAGGATTGGGGCGAGTCGTCAGCGAACCGTTGGTATAACTCGTCTGGCTACTGGACGAGCGCCGTTGGCTGGCTTCTAAACGGCCAAAAGCCTCCAGTCTGGCCCCAATACGACCTCTCCTCCCCCACGAGAACTATGGACGACCTCGAGATAGCCCAGGGCGACCTTGAACTCACTAATGCCACCATAGTGTCCATTAGAGACCACCTTAAAGCTTCGCGCATGCTAATTGACTATTCCGATATAGGCGATGCCACTAAGCACAATATCGACTACAAGGCCACTCGTCCCTGCCCGTTACTGTTGGCCAACACCGAAAATTCGACGAATATCTTTAGGGCCTCGCTCCAGGCGCCCCAGGAAATGCTACACACCCTTGATAAGCACGTCGCCGCTTTTGAGAAGCGACTGCTTAACTGGAATAGTAAACCGTTCTACGACTCTTTCGACCAGGCGGAGGAGAACTAAGAGATCAATCCTTCCTCCTTGTGACCATGTTTCCATTTATTTGGTTTGGTCAAGAGCGGATAAAGGAACAAACATGACAACCCCTCAAACGACAGCTGAAACCATTTGTTTGCTTCGATTTCTCCTTCCTTCTATGTGCATTTTCCACCGGTAGAAAGATACATACTTGCACAGAAGACCAACTTATAAGGATAGAGAATCCTCCCCCTACAGATCATACGACAGTCCAACATCAACCCCTAACACTCGACATGCTTGATATGATCCGCTTAGCCTTGCGCATCGTCACTCTTTTCCCTTATTTGCTTCTTGCCATAGCACTTTTGTGTCTTCTTTGTGTCGGTTGGGTCGGGTTCAACTTCTTCCTTCGAGCTTTCACCATGATCCTCAAAATTTGTGGCTTGCTTGTTGCCCTCGCTCAGAGCATCTTTCGTTTGGCTTGCATTATCATCATACGCTTCTGTCCCTTGGTTCTCATCAAAGCATCTTCTTGTCTTCTCTATCTTGGAAAATTCGCATGCTGGCTCATTCTTTGGGTCGTCTCCTGGATCCTGCGCCGTGTCTTCGCCACGGGTCCATCTCCACTTCCAGTCACTCCAGCCGCCGTCGCTCCTCCAGTCACTCCTTCAAGTCCATCGACGGCCTCAAGGCGCTGTCTTGGCAAGAAGAGGAACCAACAGCAGTGCACCAGGGTCAGCAATGACCCGAGCTCTGGTCCCTACTATTGCCATCAGCACTTAGCTCAGCGTCCTCAAAACGCTTGAGCATCACCGGGTGAGTCCTCAGCTTTCTGTCGATGACGCGTTTAGTTCTACTAGCTAACCATGACAAGCTCAATCTACGGGGGAAAGGCTGTACAAGTCCGGGAGTGTGGATGGAATGACAAAGGCTGGTCTGGTGGATAACCGAGAGGATTGCATGGTTACGGAAGTCTGTCCCCCCCACGGAAATTGTATCTTAGCTCAATACAGTCTTATCATTTGCCCCCAAACAAGCCTACGTAGTGGCGCGGCCGAGTGGCTAACGGAACAACGAGACTTCTGAGAGCCAGGGCTGACAGTTGAACAGTGCGATTGAAGCGTCGAGTGTGCCAGATGGAGAATGGAAATGGGAGTGGGCGCTCAGCGCGAACCGTACAAAGTTCAACAAGCAGGCTGGTCATCAAGCCACGCTAGCAATCGAGGCACTTACTTGCTGTGGAATAATACTTTTGCTTAATTCAGCATGGCGTACACAAGCTACTGTACCGCAAGGTAAGCACGCAGGAGGCTGGCCGAGGACGTGAACTTCACACCGACAGAGACGCGGCGGCGGTGCGAGTTCGCTGCCGCATCGTCAGGGTCGTTGGGACTGTTGCCAGCCGCTTCCCGCTGCTTCCGCCTTCTTCCTTTGCTTTCTTTCCTTTTCCTGCTCACCCTTGCCCTCGTCTTCGATCAGCAGCGCGCAGTTGTGAGCGTGGCTCACGACGTCACATGGGCTGATGCCATATTCTCACTGACGAGTACCTTCGGTCCCTGGCGTGGTTGGGCTCGATGGAGCTGAGAGAGCAGATGGAGCCGTTGCGATTGCGGTTTCTCGAGAGGTAGGGTGAGATGAAAACGAAGGAGAGGCTCCGAAACGGGACTAGTCATTATTGTTTTGTGCTTCGCTGAAGAACAATTGATATTAACAGCTCTGCCATTTGAATTCAAGGTGGGCTCTGCTCAAACCCTCGCCTTGCCAGCGCAGAAGAGTACTCCAGGATGCAAAACCCTTACCTCTTCAATGTTGCCCCTTCTTTCCATCGTTTCGAGCGTTGCCTGCTCTCCTGGCTGGTGTTCCAGACGGCCGGTCGCATTGCCATCCAAAATGCCCTGCACGTCATGGCAGGAACGCAGAGATGACGCCAGCCAAGTGCCTCCACAACGTCACTTCCAGGCCTGAGACCCCGGCGACTGCAGGATTCTCGCCCTTTCGGCCGCCAACACGTCGACGAGCTCAGCGAAGCCCCCGGTGCTGTATGTATTCAAGGATGCCAAATGCCGAAGCACTCCTGCCCTTGGTCGTGGACAACTCGGCCCAGCGGTGCTTCTGCTCGACGACGATGCCGCTGGTGACGCTCAGGCTTGGAGCGATGTGCGTCGTAGAGAAACGCGGGGATCGTGCGAGCAGCGCCATACAAACGCAAGCGAAGAGATACGTAGGTACCTAGGACAGCAGGAGTTGGCGTGCGCGTTATGTACAACCGGCGAGGATAACTTTCATTGCACAAGGCCATATCATTGACCTCGGAGAGATCAACGCCAACGTGAAGTTGAATGCCATTATGCGGAGCACGCCGTCGGCGCGGACGTCGCCATGGGCCTTGGACTGAGAATCAGGACGAGCCTAATATTTTGCGGCGCAAAAAATGCGAGGCCAAGTCGTCGGCCAAGATGATGCTTACATCGGCCGTCTTTCTGATCAGCAGGCAAGACGGCGCTGCTTGTGGTCATCGCTCGCTAAACGACCGCGCAGCAAACACCCGGAGTAGGATGAGCGTCCGTCGCCTTGTCGCCTCTCCACTTCTACGCTGCACGACCGTCCGGCCGTTCGGCCCACGCAAACCTCACCCACAGTTTTGTCCCTTCTCATCCGTATAAGGGTCTGCATAGACTGTACCTTATGGTGACCGCCGACCCACACCTCCGCACAATGCCACCCGCCGGACCTTCGTCGATACGTCTAAAGTAGAGGGCTATTGCTGCGCAGTACGTGTATTATCTTTCTACGCGCGTTTTATTACTGCTACTAGTGAGGCTTTTTTAAGCCACCCTGCTGAGGTCCTTCTCCAATGACCCGTACACATGGTTGGGAGAGTGCTCTTAACATTTCACTGCCTGCGTGTATAAAGGCGCCGCTGTGTTGGTAAAACCACTGGCAGGAGGCGCCGTTAACTTAAGGTGCTATTGGTAAACATGTCATATCTTAGCTCAGTTCTCATCCGCATAGACTCCGTATAAATATTGCCAAATCAGATATTTTATATTTGACAACATTTAAGTGTAGCGTCGGCCTGTTTTTTCCTTTTTTTTTCAACACCTCGCGCGATAGAATATAGGCTACGGAAGAAGATTTTACAGATTTACAACAGCATTTTCGAAAGGGGTGTCGGGAATGTGGCTTCGTTGGAGATGCTAAAAACTGTTGTCTGCCACGCAGCAACTTCTACCACGCTCTGTACGAATCTGACCCGGTGTTTGAGAGCCCCATAGACTTTATGTGCTCCAGTGCGAACAGATGAGAGGTAGTACGGCGGAATACTATCAAACAAATCACAGGTTCGCCAGGCCTGCGGGGAATACTTCTCATTGTCATCTACGATGGGAGCTTGAGCATGTTGTGCACTTTCACTACAGTCTTCTCGGAAGGCCATTGTGAGAGGACTGATGACGACCTACCTTTCGAACTTAACACAGCTAAATCCATCTTTGGCGACGAAGGAGATTGGTTTATAACGTTTAATTTGCATTCAGCACCGCCGTCCTCTACAAGTGAGGGTACCAAATGAACTTTTGCCAGTATCAAGACAAGATTCAGACGCCGGATGAGGAGCTACCAGACGAAGTTAAGGGCCGTTTGTTCGGGACAGTTGTAAAAGTGAAAGTACCCGGGGGGCATTTCGTCTCGAAGAGCGTCCGTATGATGAATTTAGAGGTATCTTCCTTAAAGAGCAAACTACAATAGAAAATGCCCTGATATAAGTTCAGCCAGTGGTTCTTGTACGAGAACATTTCTCTGCCCCGGTGAACTCCAAACAAGTATGGAATACTTTCAAGAGAGAAGACTTATCCCCGGACGCCTGATTTGACCGAACCCGCCAAAGGCCCGCAATACAATTATAACCAGCAGATCATGGTTATTGTTGACACGTACAGGCTCAACATCTGCAACCCCTGCTGGGGAGATGTGAGCACCAAGTACAAACTAGAGCGTTCCTTGGGTCTCAAACCGCCGCAGTTAGTCCTCCACCTAATCTAAGTCACGTTTAAAGATAATACTCACACGATATTAGATGCGATACAACATGTAGCGCTATGGCTTTGGCCTAGGTCAGTGTATTGGCAAGTTTATTGCGGACCGTATGGTTCTTAGCATCGTGGCCGCTCTACTTAAGGACTCTCGGATGGAACTACGACCTGAGGATATAGACAGTGATTACTCTGTGAACCCAGATGAGTAGATTACTCATCCCGATATTAAGCCTGTTTGTCACAGGCGCCGAAGCTGCTCGGATAGGCTAAAAAGATTATACTATACTTAGCAACGGCCACATTGGTTTATGTGTTATTTAAACGTACGTCAATTATCCTTGTGACTCATATCGCCCATATAAGCTAATCACCTCTTCTTCCGTTGTGGTGGACACCGAGATGCAGGATAAAAATGCACACAATTTTCCGTTGCCACCACGGCTCAGCAGTCAGCTGAACGAGAACTCTAGATTAAAAAAGAGTTTTGCAATATGTCCAGGGGAATAAATTTGTTATTCTTGGTTGGGTGTTTTTTTTTTTTTTGGAATTTTGGTAAGAAAATTTATTTGTGCGAAAATCGTGGCCCTCGGCTTTGCAACAGCTTTGATACGGAAGGTTAATGGACATCAAGAACAGAGAGCTCCCAGTATGAAGGCGCCCGTAAAGTTCGTTCTTGGCCCGAGTCTAAGAAGAGGATTGTCCCTACGGCGCGACTGGGCGATCGCAGCGATCCGCTTACGAGAAATCCCAATTTTATCGTCATCACCGACGCCAAGCGCAATAACTTTCGACACCACCGTCGCTCCAGCGCTGCCGCCACCGCCACTGCCACCCGTCGTCAGTCGTCGACGCGCCAGGGTGAAGCGTTCGGTCGTAGGGGAGTACTATAGTAGCCCCGACATTCTCCATTCGCAGTGGGGACAGGAATGAGGGACAACGTCGCCCCTGCACTCGATGTCACGCTCGATAGGCATTTAGATCGCCGGTTTAATTGTAAATGCTAAGAGA